GGAATGTGCTTTGGGGTTTAGGTTGGTCTGGTTTACGCTTGGTCTCGGGGTTTAGGGTACCAAATGCGCAAATGCCCGGACAGCCCAACGCCGCTTGATGCAGGAGCATACCAGAACTCAGAATGAGGATCCCTATCCGGCCAATACTCTGGCTTGTGTTTTTGGTGTACCCTTCATAAACGGGCCCTTTCAAAACAGGAACCCACCCCCACCCCGGACCAAAAAACATGCTTAAATTCGTAGAAAACAACCACCATATGGTTTGAGGTATGCTCCGCAAATCATAAATGAGGATCCCTGTACGGTTGAAGGTATTCCTTAAGTCAGAACGAGGATCCCTTACTTGGAGGCTCATGGGTAGTGATAAGTAGGGCTACACGAAATAGATAGCATGCCTACAACCCTACGAAAAAGTACACATAAACCTCCAAGTATTGATATTATTCTTCTGACTATATTGTATAATTGTGTATAATTCGAATGATTGCAGGCATGTTGCATTTTGCAACTATGACTTGGTGACGGGCATGGTGCCTAGACCCTAAACCGCAAACCCCAAACTCTAAACGTTGGGATGCCCGAGCCATCAGGCAACTCTCAGGAACTGTGAGCATTCTTGGAGCCTGTTTAGAAACAGCCCCAAACAGTTGGGAACTGTTCCGAACCGTCGGAACTATTTCAAAGCGGTTTAGGGTTTAGGGTTGAGGATTTAGGGTTTTCTAGCTAATGCAGGCTTTAGAGTTCGCAGGACCGATCCGGTCTTGAAACCGGGAAACGCAAGGACAGACACCCTGGGTCAAACAAACCACTGGTAAACCAGCCGGTACTTTAACCCACAAACCCCAAACCCCAAACCCCCAACCCCCAAACCCCCAACCCCCAACCCCAAACTCTAAACTCTAAACCCTAAACCCTAAACCCTAAACCCTAAACCCTAAACCCTAAACCCTAAACCCTAAACCCTAAACCCTAAACCCTAAACCCTAAACCCTAAACCCTAAACCCTAAACCCTAAACCCTAAACCCTAACCTTCATTAAGGGGTGCTGGGCTCTCTGGAAGCCTGGGGTCGACTCTTTGTCTCGGAGGCGTGAGGCCTTCGCCGCACATCGCAGCAGGATGCAGATGGCCCAGAGAGTCCCGTACCCTCTCGCTTGGAAGCCCTGACTGAGTAATTAGGGTTTAGGGTTTAGGGATTAGGTTTTTTTTTTTTGCGTTTAGGGTTTAGGGTTTCGGGTTTCGGGTTTAGGGTTTAGGGTTTAGGGTTTAGCGTTTAGGGTTTAGGGCTAGTAAGTTGGATATTATAGGGTTTCAAGTATCTCAGTAGACGTACTAGGTCAAAACAGGCTTCCAGGCAATGAAAGATTAGGATGTCGGATCCGTACTCTACCCCCCTTTGCCAATTTGGGGTTTAGTTTAGGGAATATGCCTAAGTCATCATAAGGATCCCCATATCATTCAGAGATCTTTAAGGTATCTGGTTTCAGCACGTGGTATTGGGCTCTCTGGATCTACCCAGCCCGTCGGCTGTCGTTCAACGACACGGCCGGGCTAAGAATGTACACATCAGTCTGCAGTCACCTAAACGTAACCCTAAACCCTAAACCCTAAACCCTAAACCCTAAACCCTAAACCCTCTGCAGTCATCTGTTGTGTCACTTTGGGTACCTGCCAAGCTTGCGGGTCTGGTGGCGCGGAGTGGCTTTAGATGAGAGTCGAGTCCTCCAAACCCTATAACACCCCAAAACCCGACACGGAGAGACGGAGGGACCCTTGTTAGGGACCAACCCTTGGTCCCTAAACCCTAAACCCTAAACCCTTAAACCCTAGACCCTGTGGGTCTGCTTGAGGACTTATTTCTGGGGTTGCTTAGGCTTTTGAGGAGTTATGATATTGTCTATGCGCATCAAGATCTCTTCCAAGGACTGGTTCTTAGTAGGGAATTGTGGAACTAGGGGTACCCGATGTTCTCCTTTTTTGGGTCATACTGGGGGAACATACCGTGCGAAATTCATCATTCCCTACTACAGAAACAACCAGTAGGCTTGAATCATGCACACCCCCTGAACCCTAAACCGTAAATCATGACGGACCCCCCTGAACCCTGTGGCAAACCTCTTTCACGGACTCCACCCTGACCCTAAACCCTAAACCCTTTTTGCCACTGGACTGAAGGCAAACCCTAAACCCTCAACCTAAACCCTAAACCCTAAACCCCAAACCCTAAACCCTCAACCCTAATCACCCTGAGTCGCGTGCTGATTTCGAGGATCGAGGTTACCAAGGCTCCCCGGCGTGGTCCCCCAAGGACTCTGCTGAGGGTACTTATCATCCTACTTTAAGTATGGGCCCTTTATGTGGGTCCCTTTTTACATAACCCTTGTATACTCTGTATTTCATAAGGGCCCTTAGGGTACTTATAACCCTACTTTAAGTATGGGCCCTTGATTTGGGTCCCTTGTTACGTAACCCTTATATACTCTGCATTTGAATAAGGGCCCATACTTCGAAGTGAACAAGGGTAAGGGACCACACTCAGGGCCCATGCTTCCAACGCTTAGATGCTTGCCACAGCGGAAAGCTGGGGGCTTAGGTAAGAATTGGGTTTAGGGTTTTAGAGTTTTAGGGTTTTTAGGGTTTTTAGGGTTTAGGGTCTAGGGTTTTAGGGTGTTAGGGTTTTAGGGGTTTAGGGTTTTAGGGGTTTAGGGTTTTAGGGTTTTAGGGTTTTAGGGTTTTAGGGTTTAGGGTTTAGGGGTTTAGGGTTTAGGGTTTAGGGTTTAGCAGCTGAGCCCGAACCCCGAAGCCCTTTCTCCCAAGTGCCTTTCGAAAGCCCAGCTGCGGCCGCAACGATTTCCTCTACCGAAGCTCAACTCCGAAAGCCCCCAGTCCTCTGTGCAATAAACATAACTCAGTTCCCCTGGGTTATATAGGTTCACAATATATATATATATATATATTACATATATATATATACATATATGTATATATATATATACATGGGGCCCATAGAATTCGTTCACCTCTCTTTTGCGAAAACCACGACATTCGGAATTCCAAATCAACTTGGGCCTGCCTCAGACCGAAATCGGCGGTATGCGCAAGGTGATAGCTCCCTGGCGGCAGCCTTGTCTTGCTTGGAGGTTCAAGGTACATACTAACCAATTCTAGCTGTACATACAACCCACTTATAAGCCCCTTAAGTGCCCTCATGTGGTTATAAGTACAGTTATAGGTACAGTTATACTTGGATAACAAGTACCATGAACCTCCAAGTGGGTCTTATATTTCTTGCGAGCGATGTGTTTTTTTTGCGAATCCCCTGTGTACTTGGGTGATGTGGTATTTTGATGTGAAATCTTACGGGCTGATGTGACTTAAACTGGACATCAAGTATCGTCCCGTAAGACCATTCTGCTCGACCCACACAACGCTGTCATTGTGTCGGTCCCTGAACACTGGGGCACGGTGGGGTGATTCTACACTACTTGGTAGTCCTGCATGTAGCATAACCCGCCCGTATTCGCGCATGCACTACATCCTACGCTTTCTGCCAAGCTACAGCACTAAAACTTTGCTACAGCGGTTCGCACTTTTTCGGACGCTCCTGGCCCGTCAGTGTCCCAGACTGGCTGGTCGTTGTGCACTGTCTCCGACATCTGCTCCAAACCAAAAGAAAGCACCTATGCGGTGTATCACCGCGTGCATGGTAGCTACACACTACAACTATGCGCGTGTCCGCGTGAAGAACAGCGGCATTGCCAATGCAAGGCTTCCAGCCAAGGATCGACGAGACTGGCTGCTGATTGTAAGGTCGCAGCTGTCCATGCATCCGATTTCGGTGCAAGCCAGCATCCCTTGTGAACAGGTGCAAGAGTTGCAGCAATTGCTACCCGTGTCCTGGCCAGTCCATCCATCACTCACAACTTCGCCACCAGTCAGCGTGCAATTGTCACCCACAGACGTGATGCCAACGCCACTGCAGTCGGAGGTGTTTTTTGCACAAGTTGTGGTGTTCCAGTAGCAGCTGCAACCGCCGTCGTTCATGCTGGCGCACTGGGTTTCATTCCAGTTCTCGCATATGGCCGCCCGGATTTCCAGCATCTGTGCGAAAGCCATGCTTAGGAACACTGAATGATAGCGCCCCATCGGCTCTGTAAAGAGATCCCACCCTGGACGTCCTGTGATGTGGGCACTTGTGCCGAGTAGTTCCCTCAAGTGCGGCAAGCTCACGCCAGTGAACGCCCACGCGCCGTGATCTGTGTGCACCCAAGCACTCCTATACCCCTTAATCAAATATTCTCAAGAACAGAAGAAGGTTCCGTAGATGGTTTAACGACTATCTTCCTTCATATAAGGGACATTGGGGGGTCTCCGTACGTATGCGTATCTGCGTGTGAAGCTATGTATGCATGTATGTAGATAGGGCTCTACTTGGAGGTTCGTGGGCAGGTCTAAGTAGCAAATGTTGGTAGATGTACATATAACATCATATAAACCTATGGTGATGTACTTCGGGTAACCTCCAAGGAAGACTGAGGGCTGGTTTTAGGGCTCTAGGTTATAGCGAATGAGGGTGCCTAGGGTTTTCAGGGTTTTGGGTTCAGGCTTTGGATGGGGGAGAAGGAGGTTTGTTTTTTGGCGTTTGAAGGTGCTGGTTGCCAGGATGAGGATGAGGACCCTTCTCATCAACCCTCCTTCTCCACACCTTTGTTTTCCAACAGGCTCGCGCGCCCCCTGAAGCCCTTAGGGCCTAGAAGATTCATGCTTCGGAAGTTAAGATGAGTGCTTGAGTACAGCCCCCCGCATTCCACGGCGAAATCTCGGCAAACAGCAGGGTTGGGCCAACGTCAGGCTAACTCCTCAGACATGCCTTTTTGCTTTTGCAACACCCTGCTTGCCTGTATGTCAGGCTAGGTCTCGTGTGCTAGTGTGCTCATGCACCGCTGCAATGCCTAAAGCTACCTGGCGTCGCGTCCTTGCGCTGACTCTCACGTCTCGTTGTCAAGCATCTGGACCCCTGCGCCGGATCACTGTCTTGATCGCTTCTGCAAGCACCTCGCAACAGCACGTACATACTCAGCCGAACGTACAGAGCGGCACATGTCACAGTCAGTTGCATCTTTTCAAACTCTCGAAACTCAGATCACCTTTGATGAGAAACTGAGTTTCTACAGCCGAGGAAACCATGGCCTCCTCAAAACACCAGTCCTGTACGAGCTTTACTCTTCCTTGCTGTGGCCCTCATCAGCCAACAAGGCCTCAACTGACACAACAGGCTGAGCTTCAGCCTGACTGGCCTCCACCTTTGCAACTTCGTGCACACATGTCAGACCCTAAGCCCTAAACCCTAAACCCTGAACCCTGAACCCCAAAAGCCCTAAACCCTCAACCCGGGAACCAGCAACCATGTCAGAACGGAGCAGCAACGAAAGGTGGTGCCAAAACCAACAGGTTGGAAGCGAACCCGTGCAACACGACCCATACGTGATCCTCCCCCAGAACCTGCTTCTTTGGGGGGGGGGGGGGCAGGGGGGACCCCTTCTACATGCTGTACTAGGCGATAGTCCCGAAACTTCATACGAAAATGTTAATATTCCCTTTGGTTTTATCTCATTAACGAAAAATAAGAACAAACTCCTAACAAGGCTGTATCAAGGGTTTGTGCGGACCCTACCACAAAAAAGGGTCTCAAGGTTCAGGCCCTGTCGTCAGCACCCGGCTTGGAGCACCGGGGGTTTAGGGTTTAGGGTTTAGGGTTTAGGGTTTAGGGTTTAGGGTTTAGGGTTTAGGGTTTAGGATTTCGGGTTTAGGGTGTCTACTTCTTTTCTTGCCCTGGCCTCCTGCCGGCCGGTGTCCAGCGGCCTCTCCTCCAAACAACGAAGGTCCTAAATCCTAGGGTTTAGGGTTTAGGGTTTAGGGTTTAGGGTTTAGGGTAGAGCCCCAACTCGTTCTATGGGACCCCGAGAGCCAAAGGCCTCTTGATGAAAGAACATGGCTAAATTCACCAAAAGGAGCCCTCTTCTGATCCAAGGCACATTCCTTGGGAAGGTGGTTCCTGTGGTTGAGATTCTTGGCAGCTCAGTAACATTATTACAATAAGGGTGCGCTTTTAGGGGTTGGGCTTTAGGGTGTAGGATTTCTGGTTCAAGGTTGAGAGTTTCGGGTTAGAAGCTCTAAACCTGCCTAAACCCTTGCACCCCGAAACCCTCAACTCCCCTGAGCCCCCAAACCTTAAACCCTAAACCCTAAACCCTAAAACCTGAACCCTAAACTGGGGTTGATTACTTTGTGAAAGGGTGAAAGGGCACCACTGGGCGACCAAAGATTCAGGGTTTCGGGGTGTTTTGGGTGTTTGGGTGCACGGTTGGGGGTTGATGGATAAGGCTCCTGCCTTACTAGTAGCGTGAGGATCCGGGGCCCTCAAAGCCCCCTAGACCCTAAACAGGCCCTAAACCGTGTTAGGGTTTGTAGGGTTTAAGGTTTAGGGTTTGGGGAGAATGCGCCGCAGACATGTGGCTGGGAAAGAATCTCTTCGGCAGTGACTTCCATGAGCCGGAGCTTCTTGGCATTCTTGGCCACCTTGTCCGCTTCCGACACTGGGGCGTCTGGGAAAGGCACGGCTATGGCTGAAGGTGCACTTGAAAAGCAGCTGATGCTTCGCGTAGCACACCTAGCCTGTTCCTGCTGCACCAGGTGTCCAGAATCCATGACATTGGACTTCCGCTTCTTGCGAAGATCCCTTGCTTCTCCCTCCAACTGCTTGGGCAGAAGGGCGAAGCGACTTTGCAAAGTCTCTCCCAAAAGAAGAGTGAGAGGAGCTCCTACTGGGCCTTGGGCTTTCGGTTTTAGGGCCTACTGGGCCTTGGGCTTTAGGATTTAGGGGCCACTGGCCTTGGGCTTTTGGTTTTAGGGCCTGCTGGGCCTTGGGCTTTAGGTTTTAAGGCTTACTTGGCCTTGGGCTTGCCTACAGGGCCTTGGGCTTTAGGATTTAGGGGTCACTGGTCTTGGGCCTTAGGTTTTAGGGCCTACTGGGCCTTGGGCTTTAGGTTTTAGGGCTGAGCCTTGGGCTTTGGATTTTAGGGCCTACTGGGCCTTGGGCTTTAGGATTTAAGGGCCACTGGCCTTGGGCTTTAGGTTTTAACTGGGCTTTGGGCTTTAGGATTTCGGGGCCACTGGCCTTTAGGTTTTAGGGCCTACTGGGGCTTGGGCTATAGGTTTTAAGGGCCTAGTGGGCCTTGGGCTTCAGGATTTAGGGGTCACTGGTCTTGGGCTTTAGGTTTTAGGGCCTACTGGGCCTTGGTCTGTAGGTTTTAGGGTCTACTGGGTCTTGGGCTTTAGGATTTAGGGGCCCTCACTGGCCTTGGGAAAGGTTCTAGGCCTACTGAGCGTTGGGCTTTAGGAAAAAAGGGCTACTGAGTAGGTTTTAGGGCCACTGGGCCTTGGGCTTTAGGGTTTAGGGGCCACTGGCCTTGGACTTTAGGATTTAGGGGCTAGGCTTTGGGCTTTCGGGTTTGCCTATTGGGCCTTGGGCTTTAGGGTTTAGGGCCTACTGGGCCTTGGATTTTAGGGTTTAGGAGTGTTTTGCTTAGTGGTGCGTTTGGGGCTTACCATTTTGATTAACAGAAATTAGGAAACTAAAATCTTTTCCTGATGATACGGGATCCAATGGGTGGGTGGGTAGATTTTCAATACCAGAGTAGCGAGCTTGACTTAGTGAATACTTGGACATGAGATGCTGAACCCTAAACCCTAAACCCTAAACCCTAAACCCTAAACCCCTCAAACCCTCGATGCGCTTCTCTCAGCTGGGGGGGGGAGGTCCTGCTTCCGCGTCTGCGACGTGGTGCGCGCGCTCTTCCGCCGGAGCCGGAGGTGCTCGTAATACCTGGGGCTTGGGGCTCCGGGTCTCGTAGGGTTTAGGGTTTAGGGTTTAGGGTTTAGGGTTTAGGGCTTAGGATCAGAATTTTTTCGGGGGGAAGGGGGTGGCGGGGAGTGCCAGAATGTTTGGGAGCTTTGGTTTCCTCCTGGGCAGGATCTGCACTCCTCCCAGGGGTTTTTTCAAGGGGCTGCCTGCACAGCAAGGAATGTAAAAATTGCCACAACCCAGGGTTTAGGGTTTAGGGTTTAGGAGTTAGGGTAAAAAGGGACATTTGTTTTTTTGCATACTTTGGGGGGTTTGGGCAGGGTTTGGGTTCTCCTTGAGTCCTGGCACTTGTCGCCAAGGAAGCCGATCACGACGACGGCGCTCAGCGAGTAGAAGATGATCGTCTTGACGTTGCTCTCCTTGCTTCTGTGAGAGGAAAAAAGAGGGTGCCAGACGCCTATAATATGGCCTAAGCATACAACATAAGGGGCCCACGTGATGAGAACGGGTATTTGGGGTAGTTCATATATCTCTGTGAATTATAAGACCCTCTTGTGTGCCCTACCAGGCTCCGCAAACCCCAAACCTCTTAAACCTAAACCCAACCACCATGAATGCTTTTGGGTGTAGAGTTTAGGGTTCATGCTTTGGTAGGAAACCGTGCTGCTCACGTACTGACATGGCGGATTCGCTCCCTATTTGTAGTACCGCCCCCCCCTCCCTTATCAAAATCACTAAAAAGGACTGTCAGTATAAGGGGGAACCCTGAATGGATTATAGTGCCCCCCCCCTCTCATCATAATCATTTTGTAAAGACTGTTAGTACAGGGGGGAACGTCCCAACCCTCAACCCTACACAGGGTGGTTCTCCTTGGGTCCCTTATGGGGTTCCTTATTGCAAGGGTTTACTGTATATAGGGTCACGAGAAGGAGCCTCCAAGCCAGCTCAACAGCCCAAGGGGCGTAGATTTGATACCACGGCCTCGGCAGCCTCTTCCCAGAGCCAGCGTTGGCACCTTGAAGTCCTCCAAGAAGCCCTAAACCCTAAACCCTAAACCCCAAACCCTAAACCCCAAACCCTACACCCTAAACCCTGAACCGGGGCTTGAAGCTTGGGTTTTTTGGTGGATCGGAGTTTGGGTCCAGGGTTTGGCCGTTTTCTTGCCACGGCAGGCGCTACAGGGCAACATATGGAGCAAAAGAGTTCATCTGTAGATTGCCTTAGTCATCGCAGAAAGGCTGATGCAAATATGTTTCAAGGGTTTCGACCCCTCCTCAACCCCTCATATAAGTTTAAGCCCTGAAAAACCCCTTTTGCTGCAGGAGGACTCCACACCACACCTTAAACCCTAAACCCTAAACCCCGAACCGCCCTCCTGCGTTGAGCTCGGATGGTGCGTCGGAGTCTCCGGAAGCCAGCGCGCCGCCGGCGAAGAGGGTTGAAAGCACCCAGAGGCGGAGACGCATGATTTCAAGGGCTGGCTGAGGCGGGAGCCTAAGTCACTCAGCGTATCGTAGCAAGAACAGCCTGGGTTTAGGGTTTAGGGTTTCGGAGGGTTTAGGGTTAGGGTACTGCAGCATATTGCCGATGCTTCTGTGCGCTTCTAGCCCCAAAAGTGCGCTAGGATTGAGAAAGGGTGCCCTTTTTGGTTTAAAGGGGCGTCTCCGGGAACCTAAACCTTTAAGAAAGGGAGCAGGGACCTACTCCGGGTCCTAGTATCCCTAATCCCTACAGGCCCTAAACCCTTGAATACAAAAAATTAGGGTTTAGGGTTTAGGGTTCAGGGTTTAGGGTTTAAGGGGCCTACTCGGGGTCCTAGGATTGGTGCCTTCGGCTTTGCGGGTGGCCTCCTAACGTCATGGGGCTCCTGGGGAGCTGAAGCTCCAAGCAGTAGATGGCGGCGAAGGGCTCATGAAGCAACCCTCTAGAGTTTGCGGTTTGGGGTTTAGGGTTTGGGGTTTGGGGTTTAGGGTTTCGGGTTTAGGGTGTAGGGTTTAGGGTGTAGGGTTTAGGGTTTGGGGTTTAGGGTTTGGGGTTTAGGGTTTCGGGAGCCCTGAGCCAACTAGGGTTGAGGGGGCTTTATGTAACAAAAGCCACTCTTTTTCGCAAACAACCCTAAGCACTTAAGCAATGCGGGCTTACGGGTCTATTGAGCCCAATATTCCTTAACTAAAGAATATACCTTGAATCATATAGGCATCCTTAGTATGCTTTTAGGTCTATATTCCTTAACTTAAGGTGTATTTGGGCTCTTTGGGGGGTTAGGCTTCGCCTTGGATGGCAGGGAAGTCTTGAACTTAAACCCTAAACAAGTAAATAAATAAATTAATTAATTAATAAATACATGCTTGGGCCGTGGAATGGTCCGAAAGGTTCTGCGAAATTTCCCAGAGAGCCCAACACCCCCAGCCCCCACCCCCCCCTCCCCAAAGAGCCCAATACACATGCCCTAAGTCATACTAAGGATCCCTATATGGTGTAATTTATAACTCTCCACTAAGGGGTCTGGGCCCTTGATTTTGAGTTTCGGGTTTCTAGGGTTTAAGGTTTAGGGACTGGGTCTCGGGCAAGTCGCTGCATAGGACGTGTACGAATTTCGACCCTAAACCCTAAACCCTAAACCCTAAACCCTAAACCCTAAACCCTAAACCCTAAACCCTAAACCGCAAAAAAATGACCCTATGGTCACCATGCACCCCAGAAGGGACCCAACGAGAACCACCCTGGTTTAGGGTTTAGTGTTTAGGGTTTAGGATTTAGGGTTTAGGGTTCAGGGTTTAGGGATACATCCGGGCGCCGCACCTATAGCTCTGGAGAGTATTTTCCACCAGCGTCCCAATCCCAATCCTGCGCAGGCTGCGGCGGGCCTCTTGCTGCCACTACTGAACCATAAGCTACAAGTAGACCTTATACGCCCAAAAACCAACCTTCAACAGAAGTGAGAGCTGTCCGCATGTAGTTGTTGTTTGCTTTGTTTCCGCTTAGCTTCCGGGAGTGCCGGCTTGGTTCGATAGTCGAGAAATCTGGGGGGGGGGGGGGGGGGGGCATCATTAACTACTAATGTGGGACCTGCTTTAATGTGGGGGCCCCCCCCCCCCCCTGAACAGTCGGGGCGTGGATTGGGTCCTGATTACACGGCCCCGGGGGCTTATATGATTTTAATAGGGTGGAGTTTAGATATGTTTAAAAGGGGCAGCAATGCCCGGTTATCTTTTTTAAAGGCGCGCCGCGTGGAATTTTCTTACGGCGCCGGACGGTTTGACTTTAAAGCGGACCCCTCAAACAGTCAGGGGGTCCTGAATAATTCCGCCAAATTGACTTTAAAGCGACCCCCCCTAATAAAGCAGGTCCAACATTACTATCTACTACTATTTGCGTAAGAACCCCCCCCCCAACAGAAAAAGACAATCATCCGTACATTGCCCTTCTACGGAAGAACTTTTTTTTTTTTCTGTTTGGGGGGGGTCTAACGCAAATAATGGATTAGAATGGCTTTGTCATGCGGGCTAAAGCCTGTCGAAGTCAAGAAAGTAAGCAGATGCCATTGGAACTCGCAAGTCATAGTCCAGGGTTTAGGGTTTAGGGTTTAGGGTTTAGGGTTTAGGGTTTAGGGTTTAGGGTTTAGGGTTTAGGGTTTAGGGTTGCACGGACACATGGGGGGTTTACGATATTCAGGGTACCTTCTTGGGTCCTTATTCTACGAGGATCCTTGTTTGGGGGTCTATATTAAGGGTCCCTTATTATTTATTATCGTAAAAACCCCCAAATCTACAAGTTGCGGCAGATGGATTGCAGCGGTTGAAGCATGGGTTTGTTGGGTAGTTTGTGTAAGATTGCAAGGTTGCTAAGGGCTAGTGTTGGTATTTATTAAAGCTTAGGATTTGTGTACTTTTTTCCTGTGGCATTTGGGGCGTTACGCGTCGCATTGCTTTGTTCACACTAAGAAGTAGACCTGCTACCCTAAACCCCTAAAGCATCTGTACAACATATGCACCACTACACCCCAAACCCTAAACCACAGCTAAACGCCAAAACGCCGCCATTAAAACATACGCCCCCAACCCTAACCCATAGTTAATCTCTCGACTCAAGGCTCTTTCAAAACCAAATCCTGAGCCCCATAAAGCCCTTTGTGCACCCAGGTCTCTGCGAAGACTCTAACCGCCCTAAACCCAAGAGCCTAAAGCCCTAAGCCCTAAGCCCTAGACCCTAAACCCCAAACCTTAATCCGGACACATGTACGGTAGTACCACCACTTTCCGACCTTTCCACAATGCTGGTATGGCATGCGGACTCCCCACCTCTGACATTTTTCACCGTGTACAAACGAAGGGTTTAGGGTTTAGGGTTTAGGGTTTAGGGTTTAGGGTTTAGGGTTTAGGGTTTAGGGTTTAGGGTTTAGGGTTTAGGGGCACAATATACCCTGTAATTAGGAATCTGCCTTAAATCATACTAAGGATCCCGATGTAGCTTAAGGTACCTTCATCAGGGGGGTTTGGGCTCTCGGTTTACTTGCAGGTTCATGGGTTATGCTAAGTATGGAGTTATACATACCGTGGGAGGTTCATCGGTAGCTATAAGTAGGACCGCAAGCAGGGTACCTGTGCTTATGACCCCATGTAGGGTTCTTGAAAAAACTACTCATGATTACCCATGAACCTTGAAGTAGGACCTTTGTTCCGAGACAGTTGTTCCATTTGGTAACCCAGAGTCATATTATACCATTTTGGGTGCTTGCTGCTTGTATAACCCTAAACGCTAAACCCCGAAACCTAAAAGGGCAAAAAGAAGGTACCCCTGCCTCGACCTGCACAACCCTACTTCTTGCCTAAGAGCCCAAAAAAAACACTCCCAACATTGCCCCTGCGAAGGAAGAATGGGTTTAGGGTTTAGGGTTTAGGGTTTAGGGTTTAGGGTGGTTTAGGGTGGTTCAGGGCTTCTACGGCCTGTGCTGGGGGGCCAAGGTTTTTGTTACAGGTGCACGAGCCTGTGCAAAGCAAGGCGCGGGGCTATAGACATTCGGAGCTTGAAGGGTTCGGGTTAGGGTTTAGGGTTTAGGGTTTAGGGTTTAGGGTTTAGGGTTTAGGGTTTAGGGTTTAGGGTTTAGGGTTTAGGGTTTAGGGTTTAGGGTTTAGGGTGTAGGGTTTAGGGTTTAGGGTTTAGGGTTTAGGGTTTCGGGTTTGGGGTTTGGGGTTTGGGGTTTAGGGTTTCGGGCCATTCCGCTTAACTTCTTGCAAGCCTTGCATGTCTACCTGGCACACTGCTCAAGCCACGCACACTTTGCCTCGTCCATGTCGTCGTCAGGCCGGTTGCCAGGAATCAGCCTGGTCTTAGAGGCCCCATTTAGGGTTTAGGGTGTAGGGTTTGGGGTTTAATGAAGGAACATAACAAGAACTCAAAACCAAAAGAACTACCATGTACTTGAAGGCATATTCCCTTAAGGAGTGAGTACGCCTATACAAGACTGGAAGGCCTGGCCTATTCGCTTAAGTAGGGGCAATGAAGGAACTTACATTCGTTCATACATGATCAGGGACCCTGTATAGTTGAAGGTCCACATAAAGAACGTACCCAAACTTAGAAACAGGACCCTATGTACTTAGAGGCACAGTCCCTCACTCAAGTAGCCTTTGCCTTAAAGCAAAACTCTAGACCCAAAGCCCTAAACCCTTTCCTTGGGCGAGGGGTTCAGGGTTGAGGCAGGGTTTCCGAGGTGTCTGCGCGGGTAGTGCAAGATTGGCGTGTTAGTGTTTCGATGTGCGCGGCTCGCGGACGCACACGCTGGTCCTGTAACCTAAATCCTAAACCGTAAAACCTAAACCCTAAACCCTACACCCTAAACCCTCCACCCTGTAACCCTAAGTCCTAAACCCGAAGAAAAACAACATCAGACCTTCTTAAACCCAATACAGGCCCAGAGACCCCAGTACCCTTTATTAAGGAATATACCTTAAATCACACTCAGGATCCCTATATGGTTTGAGGTATATTCATTAATTAAGGGGTATTGGGCTCTTTGGGGGGAAGAATTGGCTATCCAAAGACCCATGAGCAGCCTTAAACAATGTTACGCTCTGAACCCCTAAACCCTAAACCCTACACTTAACCCAAAACCGACACCCTCAACGCCCGACCCTGATCCCTGAACCCCAAAAGCCCAAGGATGGAGGAGAGACTCAAACTAAACCCTAAACCCGAAATTCCTAAACTCTGAACCCTAAAATCCAAACCTAAACCAAAACCAAAACCCTCAACCCTAAACCCTAAACCCCAAACCCCAAACCCCAAACCCTCCACAAGTCAAAGCGCGCTCTTGGCCCTCCGAGCCTCTCCACCTGCGCCAGCTGCTGCTTGAAGTGCCACACGCTCTCTTCTAGGCCCTTCACGCCTCGGATACGTTTGGGCTACTTGGAGGTGCATGGGGTTTAGGGTTTCGGGTTTAGGGTTTACGGTAGTTCCAAGCAACCCTACGTAAAAGTATGCCATGAGCCCCCAAGTATACTCCCCCAACTAGTGACGCCTTTACTCAGGGGTACTTGGGGGGATTCAGGTAAGCCCCAACCCAAAACTCCAAACCTGATTCCGGACGATTTCCAAATTCTTCGACCTCGGGGCAGTGTCCACCAGCGCCCACAAACAAAGGAAGGCACGAACCCTTGCTTTAAAGCGGAACTTACACCTAAAAACTGTAGACAGGGCAATGATTCTGAGCTGTAAGGTTTCCGAAACCACTCTGCGAGCTAAAGCTGCATTCCTTGACTAACTGGGCTCTTCTGCAGGAACTTTAGGCTTCTTCGCTGAACGACAACCCTGTTACGGCAACTTGTGTTCAGTCCTAAATCCTAAACCCGAAACCCTAAACCCAGTTAAGGTGGTCTTGGGCAAAGTATCTTCTTAGCGTTTAGAGTTGAGGGTTTAGGATTTAGGGTTTAGGGTCTAGGGGTTTAGGGATTAGGGCTTAAAGGGCTTCAGGTTTTTAGGGTCTAGGGCTTTAGGTTTTTGGGGGTTTAGGGTTTTAGGTTAGGTTGAGGTTTCAGGATTTTGGGCTTCAGGGTTTTAGTGCTTAGGTTTCAAGGTTTAGGGCTTCTGGTGTCAGGTTTTGAGGGGCTCACGCAGCCCCAACTCCCAAAGCCTAAACCCTAAACCCTAAATCCTAAACCCTAAACCCTATGGCGGTTCTTTGTTTCGGAGAAGCCAGGCGAGGCACGAGCCCATCTCAAGTCTCTTCGGTGGACCCTTTTAGGGCTGCGGTGAAACCACCACGCATTCCTTATGTTTAGGGTTTAGGGTTTAGGGTTTATGGTTTAAGATCAAAACAGGTGCCCAAAGAGCCCAGTACCCCTTATTTAAGGAATATCCCTTAAATCATACCAAGGATCCCTATATGGTTAAGGAATATGCTTAATTAGTTCTGGGCTCTCTGGGTAGGGGCCTGAATAGGGATTTGGGGGGTGACTATAGCATAGTTTTCAAGGGACCATAAGGGAATATTGTTAGTAATTATTCCGACCCCTATTTTAGCTTCGTCTGCCAAGAAAAGGGGGCCAGGACCCTCATGTGGAGAGGGAACTCTTGAACAAACGCGAACCCCTAACCCTAAACGTTCCGTATCAGGGACCTCCGACTCGCGCTCCTCAACCCTCAAACCTTAAACCCTTGAACCCGTAAACCCTTAAACCCTCAAACCCTTAAACCCTTAAACCCAAAAAAACACCGGATTCGAGCGGACTTACTGGCTCAAGCGGCCTGTGCCCTCGTCGCGATTGTGCCCAATCATCTGTGCAGTTTCGACGATGTTGTGTAGGTCGGGATCGCTGGAAGCGTTTGTCACCTCGCCGGGCACTTCCTCGCAGAAGGCCAGATGAGGTGTCAGGCGTGGAAAGAGGCTGAGAACGGTAGTAGCCAGGAGTTGAACCTATACTGAACTTGGCACCCAAGTTCAAGAATTACATTTTTTCAGCTGTTCCTTAGGGATTATAGTAATGATTTTTTAAACAAACAAAAGACTATTTCCAAGGACTACTAAGGAACAGCCGCAAGGCACGTCAGCAGCATCAGCACGTGCTCCCAGGAACCACCGGATCTGAAGATGACACCGGAGGCCATCTGGAACCTGGGATGGCCATTAAAAAACTTTTTGAACACAGGTTCCTGAACATCATAGGGTTTAGGGTTTAGGGTTTGGGGTTTGGAGTTTGGGGTTTGGAGTGAATATGATCCTCTTCAACCCAAAAAAGGCAACTAGAAAATGTCCCGAGGGCCTACCGAGGAACAGAAACGACGACCCCAGGCCCGCCACGTCCAGCACGGCACTCGCGAAGGCGCAGTCGTCGCCATAGTAGAGTGGAAACATATTCGGGGTGACATAGTACGTCAATCCAACTGAGAAGGCGAGGAGGAAGAAGAGCACCTCAAAGGCAAAGAGCTCCGACCAGCCGGCAGAAACGGCCTTCATCAGCGTGAAGGCCGACACCACGGCCAGCATCTGCAGAGTTAGCTCCAAGACGAACTTCGCACGCCGCCGCTGAAGGAGGGAGTACAAGGGTGCTGTGAAAAGCAGCGACATGAAGAGCCCAGCAGGAAAGACGGATGCCGATATGCTGGCATCCGCGGGACTCAGGCGCAAGGCGTCTTGCAAGATGAGCGGGGCGTCGTTTTCCGTGGCCTGGGCGATGCAGTAGCAGCCACTGAAGATGCAGAAGTACAGGAGCATGCTCGGGTTGCAGGTGATGTGCAGCACGCGCTCGCCCCAGGGTCTCTTGTCGCCTTCAGAGTGCCTCGGCTGAGTCATCCGCTCGAGAGGTATGAACCATAGGGAGATGGACCGCAGCAAGACCATGGCCACACCTGTGCTCCACGCGATGGACCTTGACTCCCCCTCAGAACCTGAACAAAAAGTCATCTTTCTTCATATCCTCCTGGGTTTTGTCCTGGGTTTTGTATAAACCAAAAGGTTTTAAAGAATAATTCAAATTCCCTTGGGTTTTTATATAAACCGAAATTTTTAAAAATAGTTCCCAAAGGGGGTGATTAAAGGGACTGCCAGTGCATGACCTTCAGAAGGCTCCCCAAAGCCACCTTCGAACCCACGGAGCCGGCCCTTGATCCGACCTTAATCCCTGTTCCCCTAGGAAGAAAAAAGGATCCTTTTTGTTTATATACAAGAAAGCCCATAACCCAAAAAGTAAAAAGGATCCCTAACACTGATTTTGCCCGACCCCCACCACCGCAAAGCACCAACTCCACAATTCCGGCTCAATGTGCTGCTCCATCAGCTTGCAGGCCTTGGTGGCCCTAAACCCTAAACCCTAAACCCTAAACCCTAAACCCTAAACCCCAAAACCCTAAACCCTAAACCCTAAACCCTCACCCTAAACCCTAAACCCAAGAGGCCGAGAGCCAGCCACCAGCCGCACAGAGCTGCAGGATGACGTAGCCGACCAGCGGCATCGTCAGATGGCGCCCAGCTCCGAAGATAACGGCCCCGATGACCATCAGGAACCTCGGGTTTAGGGTTTAGGGTTTAGGGTTTAGGGTTTAGGGTTTGAACCTTAATAAGGAATACTATGTTTAAGTATCAGGAACCTCTACTCCCGTTTTAGAACTTTAATAAGAATATGTTTAGTATCCTCTTGGGTTTTTATATGAACAAAAAATGATTTGAAACAAATGTTCCCAAGGGGGATATAGGAACATCGAGACGGAGAGGAAGCGCCGTGCGCCATATCGGTCGATTAGGACCCCGCCGGCAAACTTCCCCACGCCGTTTAGCGCGGTGCCCGCTGCCAGTACGTAGGTGATCGTGGATTCGTCGAGCGCCGACTCGAGGCGTATAGCCGTCAGCATTGATGAAGGCATGGCCAAGACAAACTGCTCACTGAGGAGAGGGAGGCAAACGGCCACATAGCGCGAGATCCGGCCAGCGCGGCAGGGCGCTTTCTCCGCCGACATTGCCACGAAATCGAAGCCCATTAAACCCTAAACCCTAAACCCTAAACCACAGCATCGCGTCGCCTTCATTCCAGGCTTCTTACGATGGACAAAGACGCGTGTTAAGGCTGGCGGGAACTGTAGGCTGAAGGTTTCGTGTTTAGGGTTTAGGGTTCAGGGCTTGCTTGGAGCTTCAATGGGTAGCTAGCAGAGAGGATATGAGTATGGCAACTATACTTACTATGGGGCACCAGAAACCCTGCTTACATCTACCCATGAACCTCCAAGTTAACTTGCGCAACGCGCTTCAGGATGCTCGGCGTGCCACTCATGAGCCATGACTTGCGCGTGAACCGAATACCACAGCTTATAGGGTTTAGGGTTTAGGGTTTAGGGTTTAGGCTAAAGTAATCAACCCAAGAAAGGGTGACCTTGTTTTAACATGGTTACTGGGCTACTAAGGAGAAAAGTTGTCAAGTGCCAGGGTTGAGAAGGGCTTTAGGGGCCCAAACTCGAGAGGGGTTGGGTGGCACACCTAAGCCTCAGGGTTAGGGTGTTAGGGTGTTAGGGCGTTAGGGTGTTAGGGTGTTAAGGTTTTGGGGTGTTAGGGTGTTGGGGTGTTAGGGTGTTGGGGTGTTAGGGTGTTAGGGTTTAGCCTTTTACCCTTTTTCTTGTTTCTGGGTTTCCCGTAGCCAGGTTTCCCGTAGCCAACCTAAAAAGGGTGCTGTTATTGTAGTATGGTTACTGGGCTACCACGCTCAATAGCCGTAGCCCAAAACCAAACAAAAAGAAAGTAAAGGGTACCACAGGGCTACGAAGTTTCGCATCAGGCCTTACTTGCTGCCAAGCCGGAAAAGTCTAGGGTTTAGGGTTTAGGGTTTAGGGTTTAGGGTTTAGGGTTTAGGGTTTAGGGAACCCTAAACCCCAACAAAGCCTGCGACCCAAAACCCCCAAGACCCTCTCCTTTTGAACCGTTTTGAACACAGACTCCTGAGTCAGCTGGGAAAGGCCTTCTTCGAACCCTAAACCCTAAACCCTAAACCCTAAACCCTAAACCCGAAACCTTAAACCCACACCCAAACTCTGAGGCTCAGTGAAACCCAAAACCCCCAAAACCCTTCCCTTTGAACCCTGAGTCCCAAACCCCAAACCCTAAACCCTAAATCCCTAAGTCCTTAAACCCTAAATCCAAAATTATTAAACCCTAAGCCCTGAGTCCTCAAACCCTAAATCCTTAAACCCTAAGCCCTAAGTCCTTAATGCCTAAACCCTAAATCCCTAAACTCCCATCCGGGAGCCGGGCGCGAGTCGAGGCTGGCCTCCAAGGGCGAAGCTAGGGTACCCTGGTTTAGGCTTTAGGATTTAGCTTGGGCTTTAGGGTTTAGGGTTTAGGGTTTAGGGTTTAGGGTTTAGGGTTTAGGGTTTAGGGTTTAGGGTTTAGGGTTTAGGGTTTAGGGTTTAGGGTTTAGGGTTTAGGGTTTAGGGTTTAGGGTTTAGGGTTTAGGGTTTAGGGTTTAGGGTTTAGGGTTTAGGGTTTAGGGTTTAGGGTTTAGGGTTTAGTAGAGTGAAGGGCGCAGGGCTAGGAAGTTTGTAGCGTCGAGAGCACTGGCCCCTGGGCTGCGACAACGTCATGCGCAGTTCACTAGTTACATGGTTGGGATAGGGTTTAGGGTTTAGGGTTTAGGGTTTAGGGTTTAGGGTTTAGGGTTTAGGGTTTAGGGTTTAGGGTTTAGGGTTTAGGGTTTAGGGTTTAGGGTTTAGGGTTTAGGGTTTAGGGTTTAGGGTTTAGGGTTTAGGGTTTAGGGTTTAGGGTTTAGGGTTTAGGGTTTAGGGTTTAGGGTTTAGGGTTTAGGGTTTAGGGTTTAGGGTTTAGGGTTTAGGGTTTAGGGTTTAGGGCCTTATTGAGTTTGAGCACCCCTTAGAATGTACAAGGTTACTCCCACCATGACAAAGACAAGGGCTCCGCTATTTCTAAACAGGGACAAGGGGGTTTCAAGAGGGGATGATGATTTAGATAGCTCACTCGTTGTCTGAGGGGCTGGCCTTGTCAACTATCTGAAACAGATTCTATCTACAATCCTACTTCTCTCTCCCCCCCCTCTCCGTCAGGAATACAATCCTCCTAAAACAAAGACAGGGAACATTACAAAAGACCCCATGGCCTACCCAGTTGTCAACTGCCCCTTCGTGCCTCCACCAGGTAGGTCGGAGCACCACCTTAGATGACGTGACCAGACTAAGGGGCTTGGGGGTGAGTTTAGGACGCAGCGTTGTGTTCACTGTGCTCCTTACTGGCTTCATCGGAAATAATCGGGCCCCTAAACCCCTAAACTCTAACCCCTAAACCCTGAAAAAGAGGGGGGGGGGGGGTCCCAATAGCATGGCCAACCTCGCTATCCCGCGTAAGCAGCGCCTATAACATCAGGCTCGCGCTACACATCTGCAACACCCCCCAAAAACCCTTAACACCTCACCCGCGTGCTCAGGTGGGCATATCATGCTTATCCACCCTAAACCCTAAACCCTAAACCCTAAACCCTAAGGCCCTAAACCCTCTTGAGCCCGGCCTCAGCGCTGGAAACCCTTTCTGCAACGGTCTTGGGAAGCCCAGGGCTTAGGGTTTTCGGGTTAAGGGTTTAGGAGTTAGGGCTTAGGGATAAGGAGTTAGGATTTCGGGAGTTCGGATTTCGGGGGCTTGCAGCAGAAGCACCCACCTCTTCAAAGTAGTGCACCTCACCCTTCGAGGTTTGGAGCTCCGGCTGGCCCTCTCTCTTGTCGCGCTCCTCGTTTGGAGCTTGCATGCTGGCGGGCAGAAAGTTTTAGGGTTGAGGGCTTTTCGCAGAACTAAGACTTGCAATATCAGAAGTGTCATCACACGCGAGAGATGGTGGCAACAGCAGACCTGGTGCCATCAAAATCTCACCCGTCATAAACCCTAAATCCTAAAGCCCTAAGCCCTAAACCCAAATTAGAATGAAAATCAACTTCGAGGGCTCAGGCTGCAGTTAACGGCATACAAACCTATACTGAACTTGGAGCCCTAGCGCAAAAATACATAAATTCAGCTGTTTCTTAGGAATTAAAGTGTTTCGTAGGAATTAATAAAGTGCCCAAAAATATACGTAAAAACATATTTTCCGAGTATCCCTAAGAAACATCGTGTTCCAGAATAATGCCAAGCTCTGCGTGGATGATACCCAAGGGCCCGCCGGCTGAAAAAGAACTACTACCCGAAAAAGTCAAGACTAGGGCCCCCAATGAGACGCCCTTCACCCTAAATTCTATGCTTGGGATGTTCCACCTTATACTGACAGTCCTTCATAGTGATTATCGTACCCCCAATCATTATCCTAGTAAAGGACGGTTATTACAAGGGGGAGCACGCCAACCCTTAACCCTAAAACCCTCTTCCTTGATCAAGGGGGTAGGTTGGACTCCTTGGATTCCCAGGCTTGCGGGTTACATCGCATATCCTACACCCTGAACAACATAGGGTTTAGGGTTTAGGGGTTTAGGGTTTAGGGTTTAGGGTTTAGGGTTTAGGGTTTAGGGTTTAGGGTTCAGGGTTCAGGGCAGAAAAAAAGACAGACAAACTCCTTTGAGGTCCTAGAGCCCGTCTCCCTCCGCTGCCTCGTAGCTCAGCGCGTCCTTTCCGGCCTCCTGCCACACCTTCTCCCTTGGCATCCGGAGGGCTGGGGGGGTTAGGGTTTAGGGTTTAGGGTTTAGGGTTTAGGGTTTAGGGTTTAGGGTTTAGGGTTTAGGGTTTAGGGTTTAGGGTTTAGGGTTTAGGGCCTTGGGATGCACTTTTTGTGAACCCAGGCTCTGAGCATCAGCCCCAAGCCCTAAACCGTAAACCCTCAACCCCAAACCCTCACTCAGGCCAGGGTGCATACAGGCCTTGCTGATCTGGCACTGGCCCTCGCGGGACGTGGCCTCCAAGATGTCGACCTGCGGGATAAGGGCTTAGGGTTTTTCAAGGGCTCGTTTTTCTTAGTAGCCCGGTAACCATATTATAATAAGGGCACCCTAACCCCTAAACCTAAACCCTAAACCCGGCCCCTAAACCCTAAACCCTAAACCCTAAAGTTGGCCACTGGGCTACCAAGTTTTGGGTTTCGACTCTCACACTCGCACGAGGCCGGCATGCGGGTTTAGGGTTTAGGGCCTAGGGAATGAGGGGTTGAGGGGTTTGTGTCGCGGGGCTTTTATTGCTGCGGTTTGGGGCTCTTATACCTCCTCTGCTACTTTTTTGTCGTAACTCTTGCTGAAGGGGGATTCAGGCAAATTACTAGCAGGCCGAGAAGGAAATTCCATACTTCCAACTCTCACCCATTTAGAAGGAACCCTAGAAAGGTAAACTTTGTGTGGTGAGTTCGAAATGCGTAGCTAAAATGCACCTATGTAACCCCTTTTTTTCAGTCAAGGAATAGCAAGACACACACGCACACAGATATGTATACATACATACATACATACATACATACATACATACATACATACATACATACATACATACATACATACATACATACATACATACATACATACATACATACATACATACATACATGCATGCATGCATACATACATACACACACACATATATATATATATATGTGTATATATATACATATACATATACATATGTGTATATATATATATATGTGTGTGTGTGTATGTATATGTACATATATAATTAAAAGCTATGTATACACAAATATATTTATATGTATGTGTAAGCACAAACTTATAGGGAACCAAAGTCCCAATCTCCTTACTAAGAACCTGTAAGATTCAAAGCTCCGAAGCCCCAACATCTGAAACCCTTTTCAACGCAGAGAACTCTTGGAGGTGACAAGGGCATGTCTCCAAAGGGGCTCAGGGTTTGGGGATTGAGGGGCCTAAGCCCTTGTCATGTCATGGGAGGCACGGGGTGTGCTAAAGCCAAGGGCTTACGGCCCAGGCTGGAACGCATGACTCAAAGCACAGCGAGCTCACGCTGACCGCTGAAAGCCTTTGCAAGCTGCAGGCCTTAAGCCGCTGTAGCTTCAGCCCTTACCCGTCTTAACCCTCCTCGCCTGGCCCATGAACTGCCCAAAGAGGTGGTAGCGCATCATCCCAGTGCCTCGCAAGCCGATACGGCCAAGGTTCCCCGTGCAAGTAAGACCTAGTGTACTACTACTTGCTTAAGAACACCCGAAAAATGAGCAAAAAAGTAATTCCTATACTACCCCTAATAAGGAAGAATATCTTTTATGTTTTTTTTTTTTTTGGGGGGGGGGGCTTAAGCAATTGGTAGTATAAAAGTCGGCTTCATGGGTTTATAACTATAACCACTAGTGGTGCTGGCCCGTCTCCAGCACAGCGGGGTGACCACCATAGCGCTGGATGGTTGTTGCTTCGGAATCCCAGATGTACCCCATACCGGACATCATGTGAGGACATCAGGCTGCTAGAGTTTGGGCTTTTGCCACCCGAATAGCTGAAGGGTATATAGGGTTTAAGGGAGAACATCAGATCGTAGTGGCTTCAGCCCTCCAGGCTCCATTGTGCAGGTCGTTTTTACGGTCGGGGCTTGGCTGTTGGGCTCGGCGGCCTTGGCCTGAAGGGACGGATGCAGCCAAGGGGGCTGACAGCTAAGGAGAAGTTCTAAATGGCCCCTCCCAACAAGGAGCACAGAGAAAGGGACAGGGGAGGCAGGTAAGACACAAAGCAGCATGCACCAAAGCCAGGAGGCAGGTGCCGCAGAACAGCCGGAACAGAGATGGCGTAGGCATGGGCCTAAGAAAGCCATGAAGGCATTGACAGTGTTAAGCCAACTCCCTGGCGCGCATGGAGAGAAGGAGGGAGAGGAGGCGGAGGCGGCGGCACAGTGCCAAACCTCGGGGAAGCGCGTACAGAAGAGAGGCAGGGCACGTGCACCGGCCAAGGCACACAGCCAATCCCAGCGCAAAATCAAGAGCAAGTGCTCTGCGCGGGCAGGCACAAAGCCCAAGCCGGCCCCAGGGAAGCGGCAGCAGCTTGGCCGAAATAGCGAGGAAAAATGCCGCAGCCAGGGGACAGGGGTGCTTCTGAGCTACGGTCATGGATCTTCAGCTGGGTGCCGGGGGATGAGGCGACCACTTACAGCGGCAGGAAGATGGGGAAGCGGCTGCTGAGCGCTGGAGCAGGAGGCCAGTGAGAGGGTTTAGGGTTTAGGGTTTAGGGTTTAGGGTTTAGGGTTTGGGGTTCGGGGTTTGGGGTTTAGGTTTTTTTTCGCTCCCGCATGGCTGGCCGAACTGCAGGGATGAGTCTGCCGTTCTGGGAAGGAAAAGGTTCTGTTGGTCCAGTTGGGTTTTCGCCCTACGCAGCGAAAAGATATAACTGATATAAGCATCAATCTCTCATCAACCACGCACCAATTCAACAGAAACCCGAAAGGACCCACATCGTTCAACGATCATCACTGGGGCTTCGCCTAGAAACGCTCACATGGCCTAGCTCGGTTTAGGGCTTTTGGTATGGGCTTCGGGGAGTTCGGCTGGGGGGGGCGGGGGCGGGGCGGGAAAGGGTGCTCATCCAAGGTGGAGGCATGGCTAGTGCCGCTCCTCACCATCCCCCCCAAAACCGGAGGGACCGAAAAACAAAAAAAAACAAGAACTGGCCCAAATTAAGCGTTGCGCTTTCTGCCTGATGGTGGTGAGGATGACTACAACTTTAATTAATTCTTAAAGCAATACTTTCACGAGCCGTTTGTGTGCATCAAAACCTTCACGGGTCTCAACACCAAACAGTGGGTGCTGAGACTTTCGGGAGCCCAGGCGCTTGACACCAAAGCCTGGCTGTGTAAACTCTGCATAACTCCGAAGATCCAAATCAAAATGTCCCGCACACCAACCCTGCACCCCAAATTAAGCTTACAAAGTCACAGGAGCCCCCCAGATTCGCAGCAAATATGCGGTCAAGTGTTTGAATCTGCAGTTCGTCCCAAAGCCTTCAGCTGATCTTGTAACCACCGGAGACAGCATAGCCCCAGGTCATAACAGACCCATCGCGCTGAATGGCGGCAAAAGCCGTGCCGGCAGCTTGGAGTAGCTCCACATCCTTCAGCTGACCTTGCACACAACTACTGTCGCCACCACATGACGTATTGCCCCAGGTCACAACAGAGCCATTGCCCAGAATGGCACCAAAAGCCATGTCGTTCGCTTGGATCTCCCGCACGTCCTGAAGCTGATCCTGCACGTCAGTGCTGTCGCCACCATGCTGAACATCGCCCCAAGTCACAACAGACCCATTGCTTAGAATCGCAGCAAAAGCTGTGAGGTTAGCTTGGACCTGCTGCACGTCCTGTAGCTGACCTTGCACAGCACTACTGTCGCCACCATAGCCAGCATCACCCCACGTCACAACAGAGCCATTGCTCAGAATGGCTGCAAAAGCCCATGCACATGCTTGGATTTGCTGCACGTCCTTGAGCTGAGCTTGCACAACACTGCTGTCGCCGCCTCTCTCGGCATTTCCCCAGGTCACGACAGACTCATCACCCAGAAGGGCAGCAAAAGCAGCGTCGGTAGCTTGGATCCGCTGCACATCCTTCAGCTGACCTTGAGCGCCGCTACTGTCGCCACCGTGCTCCGCATGGCCCCAGGTCACAACAGACCCATCACCCAGAATGGCAGCAAAAGCTGTGTTGGTAGCTTGAATTTGCTGCACGTCCGTTAGCTGACCTTGCACAGCAGTACTTTCGCCACCATTGTCGGCATGGCCCCAGGTCACAACAGACCCGTCGCCCAGAAGGGCAGCAAAAGCTGCGTGGGTAGCTTGGATCCGCCGCACATCCTTCAGCTGACCTTGCGCAGTGCTGCTGTCGCCGCCATACTCATCATCGCCCCAGGTCACAACAGAACCATCGCCCAGAACGGCAGCAAAAGCGTAGCGGCCCGCTTGGATCTGCTGGACGTCCTTCAGCTGATCTTGCACGTAGCTGCTGTCGCCACCGTAGTCAGCATCGCCCCAGGTCACAACAGAGCCATCGCCCAGAATGGATGCAAACGCCCATAGGGTAGCTTGGATCTCTTGCACATTCTTCAGCAGACCTTGCACAGCACTGCTGTCACCGCCACCATAAGCATCACCCCAGGTCACAACAGACCCATCGCCCAGAATGATGGCAAAAGCAGAGTCGTTGCCGCGAACCTGCACCCTGCTCATCTGAAAGGTCAACAAACAACCGTTCCCCAGCCCAGACTCCTCAAGTGTGGCTGCTCCATCCAGTACGCGTCCAGAGGAGTCCAAGAGTCTGCCCCGCTTAACTGCCAGGGCCTCCTGGGCCCTGCTCTTTAACGCTCCTACACACTCGTCCAGGCCTGCTTCCACACAAACCGTCCTGCCACTCAGCAGACTCACCTGTACCATAAGGGCCATCTTGCTGTCAGGGGCCTCTTGATGCACTGGCAACGACTTTCTGCTACATCGGGTCCTTGAGCCAACCGGCCATCACGCAAGGTTCGCATGACCCAGTCGTCCACCCTCAAAGGAGCTCAAAACGTGCACGCGATGGACAGGTCAGCCTCAAGAGCCTCTCCGCACATATGGGGGTTTCCGAAATTAGGGGGTACCTTATTGGGGTCCTTCTTGCAAAGGGACCCTACTATTTGTGGGTCTATATTGAGGGTTCGTTATTATCGTGAGCCCCCCATATGTATACCACTTTACTGTTACTACTAGTTGCTTAAAAACCACCAATAAAATAACAGATAGAATTGCCCTTGTAAGGAAGAACCTTTTTGTTGTGGTGGGGGGGGGGGGGGGGGGGAGGTCTTAAGCAAATAATGTTGCACCCGTTTAGTATGGGCCCCCGCTTTAAAGACAAACTGGCCGAATTATTCAGGACACCCTGACTGTTTGGGAGTCCCTCTTTAAAGACAAACCGTCCGGGCGCCGTAAGAAAATTCCACGTGCCGCGCCTTTAAAAAAGATAGCCGGGCATCACTGCCCCTTTTGAACTTATCTAAGCTCCTCCCTATTAAAATCATATGAACCCCCGGGGCCGTGTAATCAGGATCCCATCCGCGCCTCGACTGTCCAGGGGGAGGGGGGGGCCCCCCACACTAAACCGGGTGCAACATTAGTAGTTCAGGCCGCCGAAATTGCTCCAGAGTATGACCCATCTGCCCCAAAAACTCAAGTGCTATGAGGGTGGCCATGTCCGTGGTTTTAACCTCAGAACTGCCTCAGAGTTGCTAGCATGTGGGTGTGTCGGTTTGGGTGTCGCGGCAAGGGTGACTGCGTCGACAGGCTGGACCTCTGTGGAGCAGGTAAGCTGATCCTAAACCCTAAACCCTCAACCCTACTTGAAGGTTCATGGTACTTACTAACCCACTACAACTGTACTTATAACCCTACTTATAATACCCGTAAAGGGCCTTATAGGGGTATTCCCAATTATAAGTAGGGTTATAAGCCCAGCTAGAAGTGGTTATTACGTCCCATGAACCTCCAAGTAAACCCTAAAACCCTAAAACCCTAACACCCTAAACCCTAAACCCTAAACCCTAAACCCTAAACCCTAAACCCTAAACCCTAAACCCTAAAACCCTAAACCACAGCTTCGAGCTCAGACTGGCACCCACAATCCCGCCGATGCACTGGCCATGGTGCACACCTGAGCCATTTTGCTTTTTTCAAAACCTAGGGTTTAGGGTTTAGGGTTTAGGGTTTAGGGTTTAGGGTTTGGGATCAAAACTGGTACCCAAAGAGCCCACTACCCCCTTTGCTTAAGGAATAACACCTGAAATCATACTAAGGATCCCTTTCTAGTTTAAGGTATAGTCCTTAATTAAAGGTGTTTTGGGCTCTCTGGGCTATGAGGTGCTCCTCAGCTCTCCGAGCCAAGGTGTAGAATGGCTTGGCGACAGACCCCACCCCAAATTTCACACACCCCGAAACCCGCGAATCCTGACCGTATCTAGCTCATGGTGGGGAGAAGATGAAAAATCTAGATTTCTATTCCTTATCGGTTCTAGTACCCTTAAAAACTGCAAATATTACCCAACTATGCCAACTATGACGAAGATATCCTCCTTTGGGACTTGAGACACTGACACAGTAAGGCCAGGGCCAACGCGACAGGTGACTCTCACCTTAGCAGTCAGGTGCTCCGGACAGGGCTTAAGTCTAGGGCTACTTAGCCATCTGCCTAGCAGCCAAGCCATACTGCGAGCAGGTCTCCCATGCAAATGTGCGCGCTATCAGGGTTTAGGGGTTCACAACCACGAAACCCTCCAGTTTAGGGTTAAGGGCTTGGTCTTTTGGCCGCCCGCCAGGGTTTGGGTGATTTCTTGCTCTTGCTCGCAGCTCAGATAATGAGCCAGAACATGCTCCAAGCAGATCCTCGATCCCAAGCTGTCGAACTACACACCTGAAGCCCAAAGCCCTCAACGCCACCCTTAACCCTAAACCCTAAACCCTAAACCTCAAAACCCCTAAACCCTAACCACAGAAGTCGAGGCATCCGCGTTGGGCTCCACCAGCTTTTTCATCTTCATGCCCTCGTCCCAGTCTGCAGTCGCCTATAGGGCTGTCGGCTGCTGCACATCTTACTGCTGGTGAGCAGGGAATGAGGGAATGTGGATCCATATATACCCTTTAAAGGATTCTATATAAATAAATAAATATATATATATATATATACCCTTTAAAGTTCCCTGCTAACCAACAGTAAGACATGGGATGCGCCGACGCTTGTTCCCAGAGCAGTACACTTTGGGGCAACGCCCCTTTAAGGAATTACCCTGAGATCGTATAGGGAAAGTCAAGCTCGCCCTAAACCCTAAACCCTAAACCCTAAACCCCAAACCCTAAACTCTCTGGGTTGGGAGTCGAGGAAGACGAGGTTCCAGGCTTCCGGCGCCTTGCTCGGCGCCCCCTCCCTCCCCCACCCCCACCCGAACTTCCTTTCCCCAGCCAAAACCCTACTCAAACCCAAAACCCTACTCAAACCCTAAACCCTAAACCCTAAACCCTGAACCCTGAACCCTAAACCCTAAACCCCAAACCCTAACCCTAAACCTAAACTACACCACCCCAACCCCGTCCTTGATCATCGCCAGGCCGAATTTCACCACCTCCAGGCCAGGGCATCGCGAGGGCTCATAGGGCAGCTCCCCAAAGAGCGCTTAAAACCCGCCTTCATTGGGAATAGGGTTTAGGGTTTTTTTGGCTTAGGGTTTAGGGCTTAGCAGGGTGTACGGGCTTAAGTAATCCGAGGGTTTAGGGTGAGCGTTTTCGGGTAGTAAAGTTACGGTCTAGTGAGCAGAAACCGGACCTTTGGTCCATTGGTGCAAGTTAGGGTTTTGGGTTTAGGGTTTAGGGTTTAGGGTTTAGGGTTTAGGGTTTAGGGTTTAGGGTTTAGGGTTTAGGGTTTAGGGTTGTTCTACATCATGACGGCCCCGCACGTTCTGCGACAAGTTGCGCTGGACCCAGGAAACCCAATGGCCCCTAAATTCAGGAAGAATCGTGTAGGGCCCCCATACAGTACTAAACCCTAAACCCCAAACCCGAAAATTCAAAAACCTGAAGCCCGAACCCCGAAACCCGAAACCCTAAACCCTAAACCCTAAACCCTAAACCCTAACTATGCTCTTCAGGGTGCAAGCTGCCCCCCTCCCACCTGCAACGCCGAGTTCTTTTCAGTCAGCTTTTGCAAGGGAACGCCGTCATCCTGAGATTCTTACATGTTCGGAAGGTCACTTCCCGTTGGGTTTAGGGCTTAGGGCTTAGGGCTTAGGGCTTAGGGCTTAGGGCTTAGGGCTTAGGGCTTAGGGCTTAGGGTTTAGGGTTTAAGGGCATGGCAGGGGGGCTTGTTTCTTGCGAACTTCCTTGAAGGCTTTCAATGGCTCAGTGTAAGACAGATGTCCGGATCAGGATCGAATTGAAGATCCAGGCGTATTCCTAGTGTGTGCACGGCCCTGTTTCTCTGCCACACAGCAGTTCCACAAAAGAGTCCGAACACCCGAATTAAAGGCTAAAGGGGTCTTGGGCTCTCTGGGTACAGCGGCACACCCCGCGTCACTGTCACAGACATATTGGGGTGCATTCCCCAGAGCATGCCATACCCCTTACAATGAGCCACGAAGACCTCAGCTCACATGGGGGTTTCCGAAATCGGGGGTACCTTCTTGGGGTTCTTGTCAGGGAATCCTACTATTGGGGGGGGGGGGGGTCCATATTACTTGAAGGTTCATGGTACTTACTAACCACTTAGAACTGTACTTATAACCCTACATATAAATACCCCTAAAGGGCCTTATAGGGGTTATCCCAGTTATAAGTAGGGCCATAAGCCCAGTTATAAGTGGTTAGTAAGTACCATGAACCTCCAAGTAAACCCTAAAACCCTAAAACCCTAAACCCTAAACCCTAGGGCACCCCTATTTTCGTAACTCCCCACATTAAGAACCCCGACATACTTGGAGGCATCGGGCCTCACCCCCCCCACATTCTACACGAGGTTGAGGGTTGAGGGTTTAGGGTTTAGGGTTTAGGGTTTAGGGTTTAGGGTTTACGGTTTAGGGTTAGGGTTTAGGCTTTAGGGTTACCCTACACGCCCAACCCTTGACCCTAAAGCCAGCCCTGAAGGTGGTGTTGGGCGACCTGTAAACATTAGAGCTCGATGGAACTTCAAACTTCTAGTCCAACTCGAAGCCACGAAATCCCCGGGGCCACTCCGTTCCCTAAACCCTTTTGAGCCCTAAACCTGCCTAAGTGCACGTGCCTAAACCCTAAACCCTAAACCCTAAACCTTAAACCCCACGCCCCACACCCCACACCCCAAACCCTAAACCCTAAACCCTAAACCCTAGGCCGGCTTCCTAAGCCACGACTCGCCCGTGACCCAGGCCATGCCAGCGATGTACGCGTCGCCAACCTCAAACGCACGGAGTGAGGGTTTAGGGTTTAGGGTTTAGGGTTTAGGGTTTAGGGTTTAGGGTTTAGGGTTTAGGGTTTAGGGTTTAGGGTTTAGGGTTTAGGGTTTAGGGTTTAGGGTTTAGGGTTTAGATGAACCCATCAGCCTGAACTCTAATTTGAAGTTTCATCGCTCTTACTCGGACAAGCCAGGCGAGGAATCATCCGGTCTCAGCCCGTGTGCTGCGGCTCTGCAGCCAATGTGAAACTGCTACTTGGAGGTTTAGGGTTTAGGGTTTAGAGGGTTTAGGGTTGCTATTAGTGGCGTTTAGAAGTAGGGGAACCAAACTTCTTACAACCTTAGTCAGGGCGCTTATTTATAACCCTACTTATAACTACCCATGAACCTTCAAGCATGCTTGCCTCAGTCCACAATGACAGGGTCCTCAAGGGAGGGTATGTACCTAGGGAACCTTAGGGAAGCTTAGGGAGCCTTAGTAGTGGGAGTATTCGGGGAACTTGGGTTACATACATCCCCTGAACCTCCCCCCCTCCCGTAAGAACCCTATAACACAAGTAGACCCTATTATTTGATTTTTAGGGTTTCGGGTTTAGGCCATCGAACCGTCTTCACAGGCCCTGAAACCTATACATTGGCCACCATGAGTCACCCCAACGGCCAAATGCACTACGAGAGGGGGCTGCTCTGAATTAGGGCCCCCCTACACTGTAAGAAGGACCCCTAAAACCCCTAAACCCTAAACCCCTTCCCTTCCCCCCCCCCCCCCCCCCCCCCCCCAACAAAAAATAAACAAAAAAACACCTAAACCCCTAAACCCCTTCTCCCCTAACCCCTGAACCCGTTAAGTAGACACAACCCCCCCCCCCCCGCCCCCACAACTTACATCTTTCCACCCTCTATCAGCCAGGACAGACCAACACGTCCTAGTTACAGAAAATACCCAGAGAGCCCTTAAACCCCCTAAATTCAGATTGAGGACCTTCGATGACACCAAGGATCCATATTTATAATTCAGCATTCAGGGGTGTGTGGCTCTCTGGGAAATACAACCCCTGTGTAACTATGTGTTACTCAGACTTGAGTTCAGAGACGTTAGTAAGGGTTCTGGCTTCAGGGTCTTTTTGCGGTTGAGGGTTAGGGCCTAAGCCAAGCCGCCGTTTCCACCTTGTAGATGCCAAACTCGCTCGCGAGAGCGTCGAACCTGAACTCCGGAGGACGCGGGCGCGGCATTCCCAGAGGGGCCCCTTAAAAACCCTGATTTTCTAGGGAAGATGCCCTTCAATCATACTAAGGACCCCATGTGGTTTAAGGATCCCCACATGGTTTAAGGTCTGTTCCTGAATTCTGGGGCTTTTAACGGGCTCTCTGGAAGCAGAGACGTGCAGCCTGCCGAAGAGGTCACCCATGAAGCCCACGACCTCGTGGGGTGTCCTTGGTGGGGCTCGGAGATGATTTCCTGGACTTTTTGAAGCCTTTGAAGCCTTTGAAGCCTCTGACCCCCAAACCCTAGACCCTAGACCCTAAACCCTAAGCCCTAAGCCCTAAACCCGAATCCCCAGACTCAGAGCATCAGCTGGGACCACCATGTCGTACATATCTGCAGAGCAACCCCAAGACCTTGGACCCAAAACCTTGGGATGTTCCCCCTTATACTAACAGTCCTTAATTGAGGGTTTTTTGCCTAGGGTTTAGGGTTGAGGGTTCTAGTAGGGGGCACTGCAATCCCCATTTTAAGGACTGATAGTATAAGGGGGAACATCCCAACCAAAACCCTTTTGAACCCTCCGAGCCCCCGAACAATCATACTTTCCAAAGAAACCATGTCCAGTTCGTGTACGCAAAAGCCTTGACCCCCCAATCGTAGCTTTCTGGTGCACCGAGTTTCATAGTTGACAATGGACCCAAGAGCAATTAAAGCGAGCGCGTACCCTTTCTTTGTTTAAAGGGGCTTGTATAAGGGAACCTAAACCCCCTTAAAAAGTGGAATAAGAGCCTATCTGGGTCCTAGACATTGGGGTCCCTTGAAGAACCCTAAACCCAAATAACCCCAAACCCTAATAACCCTAAACCCAAAACCCTAAACCCGAAACCCCAATACCCCTAAACCCTGAACTACGCCTGGGCCCGAGCACAAGAGGCGCACCTAACGATTTTACACAGATCTGTGGACACGGAGTTCCTACACTCCCTTTGAACCATAACACGCGGGTGCAATAATAATAAGAAGAACATGTCTGGATATTCGCGTTGGTCTTACATACCCACAAAAATGATATATACAAACAACTACAGGTTCGAAGAATGAGTCGCACCTTGGTGCGGCGCTTGCACCTACACCAGGCTCAGGGGCCCGAATGTTCCCCTAAACCCTAAACCCTAAACCCTAAACCCTGAACCCTAAATCCTCACCCCTTGACCCAGGTCCAATGTGGCCAGGCATCTTGGTCGACGAGAGTTGGGTAAAGCCGCACAGGTCAGACTGGGTGATGGTCGCCTGTGCGCAGCAGAAGACTGCTGGCTCCTATGGGAGGTTCCGCAGGCTCGACCTGCAGACTCGGGGACCGACAGAGCCCAATACCCTTTATTTAAGGAATACACCCTTGATCATAAAAGGATCCCCATATGGTTTAAGACATATTCCTTAAATAAGGGGTTTTGGGCTTGGGCTTGGGCTGGGGATCTTGTTTCGGAGTCAGGGTTTTAGTCTTGGCGGAGTGGTTTTTGGCACGCAGCTTCGCCTGTGATACCATCGGGGGCTCTTAGGGACTTGCGTGCGAGCCTTATAGACCCTAAACCCTAAACCCTAACCTCGAACCCTAAAACCTGAGCCCGAATTCTTCTACACCACCAACCCTATTCTGTCGAACCCTTCATTCAGGAATCCAGCAGAAAGTGTTCCTTAATGAGGGATGTTCGGCTCTCTGGGAAAGTTCTCAGACACTGGAGACTCTGAACTGGAGACTCAGAACTGGAGACTCTGAACAGAAAGCCCTAAACCACTTGAGCATATACTCCAACAATAGTTAGATTGGAACGAATGTTCTAAGATCCATGGGCACTTGTGGTTCATGAATAACAAAGTTTGTAATTTGCAACTGTTTCTTGTACTTACTCATTCTTATTGCTGCTTGATGTGTACAGATAATATACTGTATATGTGTCTACGTACAATGCAACAACACGACCTCCCAACTCCTGACGTTCACACCCAGACTCCCAGACCACTTCATTAAGGAGCATACCTGAAATCATGGTAGGCATCCTCATATGATGCAGGGGATGTTCCGTCATTGGGGTATGGGACCTGGAGTCTTTGGGACCCCAAACCCTAAGCCCCTAAACCATTGCACGAGGTTAGCATCACAAGGTTGACATACCCCCACAAGACCGACCGCCCATAAATCCGTAATACATCTCCAGGACCCGCATCCGAAGAAGGCAAAATGGCACGAAGCCCCTTGTTATGTTTAGCCTCTGGTTTTGTTATTTTTGTTTTTGGTTTTTTTAGGGGGGGGGGGGGGGGGGGGGGGAAAGGGGGGCCTTGGGAGGGAGAGTGCGATAAACATGATGCTGGTGTGTATAAGGGGGGGGGGGGGGGGGGGCGAGCCTCATTTTGGGAGATGCGCATAGGCACTACTGTGGACCTGTGAAAGAGATCCGGCCTGATTGTAGTGGTGGGAAGGCGTGTGGCCTTGCCAGGCTTGGATCTAAACCCTCAACCCTGAACCCTAAACCCTGACTCACCCTAAACCCTAACCCCCAAATCCTAAACCCTAAACCCTAAACCAACAAAGCCAACAACCAACCCCAAACCACCCCAAACCACCGCACTCCACCAGGTCCCGGAAGCCCCGGGATGCCAGAACACTGCGTCTATAGGCTTCGTAGTACAGCAAACTCCCAAAGGTTGGAACATACTTGTCCCCATACCCCAAAAGGCATACTAAAGGGAATCCCAGCTCTAATCGTCCAAAAAAAACCCATGTTCCAACTTTCTGGAGTTTACTGTAACCCTACTTGGCAGGTCTTTTGACGTAGTAGGTCGGGCTAGTAAGTTGGGTTAAGTCAAAAGGAGCTTGTAAGCACGCCCCTCTTTGAGGTTCACAGGTAGTTATAAGTTATAAGTAGGGTTAGGGTTTAGGCTTTAAGGTGGGTAGTAACAGGTTGTAAGCACCTTAAGCAGGGCTAAACGTATAGTTGCCAGGCTTACAACCCTACATCCCGTATATACCTACACAATTGAGCCTTTTAGTCGACCCTAAGTTAGTACGGTTCAGGGTTTAGGGTTTAGGGTTTAGGTTCTAGGGTTTAGGGCTTAGGGTTTGGGGTCTGCGGTTCTTCTTTGTCCAATATTGAGTCGATAACCGGGCCAAAAAAGGCAATGACAAGAAGTGTTCAGGGTGGCAAACCCTAAACCCTAAACCCTAAATCCGTTCACTTCTGACTTGGCATTCGTGCGTCGGGTCCCACGACCGCAGCCCTGAACGTGACGTTAGGCCTTCGAGCTTGACGTTATGCCTTGGTTGTTTGGGCTGGGATTTAGGATTTTAGGGTTTAGGGTTTAGGGTTGCTTTTGAGGGTTTAGGGTTTAGGGTTGAGGGGCAGAGTCCTTTTGCAGGAGTAGGAGTATCATCACTGCTCAACGTTGTCATAACAACGATGCCCTCATGATCATGCTGAAGCACGTTCTCCTATCAAGATACTCAACATGCGCATGGTATGCATAACAGGCGTAGCATAACTTGCAATACTTACCCTTCCTATACCGAATAGAGAGCCAGAAGACCCCTAAACCCAAACCCTCAACCCTCAACCCTAAACCCAAAACCATGAAACCCTAAACCCTAAAGCCACCCAAACCCCGGCCCCTGCGCCTGGGCCGAGCTTGTGGAGCCTCAGTGTTTTGGCGGCTGCGCAAACACCCGACCGCCTAGCTGACACTCAGGCCACATTGCAGGTTTAGGAATTATGGTTTTGGGTTTAGGGTGTAGGGGGGGACTCATTCCGGAAAAAACATAGAGTTTATAATAGGGTTTGGGTTTGGGTTTCTGTCTCGTCCAGTCTTCCCTCCTGTAGGTTTAGGATGTGGAGGTGGAGGAGTGTCGTCTGGGAACGATGAAAGCCCAGAATCACTGCAGTGCACGAACATGTCGACGAGCGGCGCTGCCTACTTTTCGGCATCGCTCTACAGTTGCATCTGTTGCACAGGTAGCAACGCCACCAATCATCATGACCGTGGGCGGCGCTCCAAGATGTACTGGGCAACACCGTGTGGAAACGTGCGAGACCGATCCCATGGACGTCCTCGGATCCATGGTCCAAGTGGTGGGTATGTGTCATCACTTCCACCCGCTTCTTCAGGCATGTCAAACACGATGCAAGTCGCTTCCCCGTCGTCGGTGGTGCTGTGTAGGTTCGCGAGGGCCCAGAAGCCATCATTGCGGCTGCCAACCCAGCAGTAGCTATGCCACAAGCTCAAGCGCCACACAGGTTTACCATTATGCAGCTTGTCAACATCAAGGTCACATACAACTTCTTCACCTGTTGGTTGCCCATCGTCCCCACACATCACCCTCACGAGATCATCCAGCTCGGCTAAGTTGGGATTCCGACCAGCCATTGTCTGCTAGCTAGCAGCGTGTATGAAAGTTGTGCTTGGCTTGACCCCGCCTGAGCAAGAGTTGCAGGAGAAGGGGTACCAACCCCGTGGTTATTCGCTTTTATGGGCTGTGTCATATGAAGCACAAACACTTATGATAGGTTCTATCACGGACACACTACTGCATCATGACTGATCGGTACTTTCACATATCTGCCACACCTGCGCAAATGAGGCTGCCGTGCAGGAGACACGGCTTTCCGGTTTAGGGTTTCTCGCTCGGCTCCGCATGCTAACTTCATTCTTGACAGGACGCCTGCACTTGCACAAGCAGGCGGCACGGATTCTGTGGCTCTGTGGTCTGGGGTTTACGGTTTAGGGTTATGGTATTGCGGTTGGTAATTGGCAGTATCGAATACGTCACAGCCTCAATGTGAGTCTTCGGGACGCGTACAAGACGAGCGCTTCGATAATGACCTATCCGCGGTCAACATGCATAAGCTGGAAGCGTACAAAAGACAACGTCCATAATGTATATATGGCCAACCTCCCACAACTAGGGAAGCCCCTATACTGTTACAAAATCCCCCCAAAAGTACAAGCCTTATTGGAACCCCCAAAACAGGTCCCCTATGTTCGGAAACCCCCCATGTTGCAAGATCTATCTCCCTCTCCCTGGAGAGATTCTGGGTGTCGGCTATCGAAAGGGCATGTGTGAGAATGCGTGGGGAGGTTAACTGTCCAGCTGCTCCACCACACCCTTTCATATCGCACTCGAAGAGCGTATCTTCATGTTTCGGGTTTCAGGGCTTCGGGTTTTGGGGTTTTAGGGTTTTAGGGTGTTCGGGTTTTAGGTTTTAGGGGTTTAGAGTTTTGAGTCTTAGGGTTTTAGGGGTTAGGGGTTTAGGGTTTAGGGGTTTTGATGTGGCAGGTGTTGGTTGCAACAGTGCAGGGGACAGAGCCCCGAGACTTGCAATACTATGAGTTTTTCGTACGTTGACGACCCAAAGTAGTAATCGTAGAAATCCGAGTAAATGTATAGAGAAGTGGTAGAAATAGTGCCCAAATCAGTGTAATCGTGATAGTCATGATGACCGTACACTCACAAAAGGCTTGAAACAAAAAGGAGTGGGAGCTTAGACCCTCTAGCACTAAACCCTCAACCCTCAACCCTAAACCATCCCTCAAATGAGGAACCCTAACCGACAAACCCAAACCCCATATGTATAATTTATAAAAAAATAAATATGTATATATACATATATATATATATATACATGTGGATATATATATATATACATATGATGATTCATATTTGTTTGCATTTATACACACATCTAAGTACATCTGTATGCCTATATAAATAAATAAATATATATATATATATATATATTTACCTTATATTGTTTGGAGCTGCTCCCTAATTTCGGAGTAAGGCGCCTCCCTACAGACCCCGCCAAAGCCTGTAACCGTTTAAGCCTGGGCCTAAACCCAAGGCCATTAAAAAAATAACAATAAAATAAAAAACTAATTGAGTCTTCGTGGCGTCTCCAGCACCTCCGCGGGCATCAGCGTTTGGAGGATGCCCTCGATGCGGCGCGTGCTCTCTTTGACCTGCACTGCAGTTTTGGAGCAGGCCGCGTTTGCGCTGCCGTGCGAAACCACTGCATCTACGGGGCCTTATGGTCTTGATCCCTTCCGAGACTCGAACCCTAAACCCTAAACCCTAAACCCGAAACCCTAACCAATTTCGTAGTAGAAATCCCAGCATTCATGTGTGGTCCATGTGGGGGTCCACAGATATTTTCAGGAAATTCCGTAATGCCGCACTTCCTTCGGCTGCTTCAAATCTCATAGCCTAGCTGCAGTCCAAACTCCTTACTTAGTATGGAAAGCTCATCCTGCAGTGTTCGCAACTAACAGGCATTGGTTGTCTTTCTGTTTCTCACGGCTTTGAAACTTCGGGGCTGCTTCTTCATCCCTTTATGATCTTGATATAAGTGATAAAGGCCACCAAGACTCCAATCGATCGGCCTCCATATTCGATGCTTGCCTAAACCTAAACGTTGTATCGCTTGAAGCAGCTTGCTATCCCTAGCCTATCTGCATTCGCAAGCGAGCTACCAGGGACTCTGAGTTTACTATAGTTCAAGTTCTGTTTCATGCCTTGTTTGAATGGCTCTTCGGGGAGTATGCTTGTAGACCCAACGTTAATAAAGCTTGGCTCTCAAAGACCTCATGTGCAATGCTTCATAAGGACCCTAAACCCTAAACCCTAAACCCCTAAGGGTTGGTTACTCTAATTGCGGAACCTAGGACTCCAAAAACAAAGCCAAAGGCGCCACCAGGCTGCCAAGATCAAGCGCAAGCCCGAAACTACTTTTTTTTGTTTTTTTTGAACCCCCCAACTACTATTTTCGTAAGACCACCCCCTCCACAAAAAAAATAACCATCCCTGCATTACCCTTATAAGGAAGAATATTCGTGTATTTTTTTGGGGGGGGGTTCTCAAGAACCCAAGAGAAAAAATCAAAGAAAATGATCCCAGTACTACCCTTCTACGCGAAGAATATTTTGCGGGCTCTCTCATGCACATCGCAGGAAAGGGAGGGGGAGGGGGGGCGGGACTAAACCCTAAACCCTAAACCCTAAACCCTAAACCCTAAACCCTAAACCCTAAACCCCAAACCCTAAACCCTAAACCCTAAACCCTAAACCCAACCATAGGAAGTGGCTTGTCGCGGCCTTCTTCTTGGACTTGAAGAGGGCTCGGCTCGACTGCCTGGGCAGTGAAGCCCGGGACTTCCAGGCGTTTATGTGCATTGACATACATATATATATATACATATATATATATACATATATATATATACATATATATATATACATATATGTATACATATATATATATATATATACGTATATATATATACATGTATATATGTATATATATATATATATAATTATAATTATATACATATATATACTTGGTCGGCTGTCAAAATTATGATCCCTGTTGGGGTACCCTAAATACGAGGTGCCGTATTCTAATGGGGATCCAAGAAGGGACCATAATTTTGACAACCACCCATACATTAGTTCGTTTTCTTACAACATTGACATCATTAAAACATACTTTACCTCGATACCATGTCATTTTCCAAGATGTGGTTTTCGGGATTGAGTTTAGAGCTCTCATACTTCTGTGAAGGGCTCCGCTTAGGAACCTCGTTTTTTTAGCCAGAGACGCAGCTTGAAGTCGGAACAAGATCAGGCAAGGGCCCGTGTGCCTCATGTGTCGTTAAAGATTGTATGTAGGGCATGCTTGGTATCCCCTAGAAACCCTTAAAATACTCCCCATAACCCAACTCAATACCCCTTTTGCGCCAGGGCTCTCTCTAAGTGCCTGGTTGCAGACTGCGCGCTTGCTAACCCTAAAAAAAATTGGGACGTTCCCCCTTATGCTAGCTCTCTGGGGGGCACTATAGTCCCGATTAAGGACTGTTAGTATAAGGGGGAACATCCCAACCTAAACCCTTTGGGAAGACGGGTACTTCACTGGGGTCTGACAGTTGGTCGATAAACCCTGTGAAGCCGGCGCCGGGATTAAAAAGATCCTCTTCCGCCCAGCTAAGGGGAAACAGTCTCAACCCAAAACCCAAAACCCAAAACCCAAAACCCTAAACCCTAATCCCAGCCCAGCCCAGGCAACACCCAACAGGCAGCCCGGTCGCTCCCCCAAGTACGAGAGGATCGCGGTGAGGATGGCAGTGCAAACAAACACAACCTGAGGCAACTTTTTGGCTGTTAAGGGTTGGGGTTTTGAGGATTATTGTAGTATACTTGAAAAGGGGCCCACTGGGAGTACTATTTGTGATTCTTCCGACCCCCCTATACTAGGGCTTGGGGTTTCAGACACCAGCAAAAGACCTAAACCTAAACCCCAAACCCCAAACCCTAAACCCTAAACCCCAAACCCTAAACCCCCGACCCTACTCATCGGCTTCCGACGCAAGCCGTGGTGCTCTTGTTGCTGCAGCTCTCCGCAGCCGGCTGAAGGGTGACGGCTCAGGGACCGGTATAGGGTTTAGGGTTTAGGGTTTGGGGTTTGGGGTTTAGGGTTTAGGGTTTAGGGTCTACCACTATAGCCCTTGAATCCCTTGATTCAGGAAGGTTCTTGGAATCTGTGCAGGGGTCCTGCTGTGATTCGGGGGATAGCTTCACTCATTGAAGGGCATTGGGAGCCTCCGGCTGCGCGCAACCAGGTGCGGCGTGTCAAAAGCAAGGCTGCGCAACTCGGGCACCTAATTTTTTGCTGTTTAGTTTCGGGTTTTGGTTTGCGATGGTTTGTATCGCCTGGCGTCGAAGACCCACCAACACCCCATCTTCCTGGATAACTCCTCTTTCCCGGACATTGACATCCCTCTGAACTGACCGGCATGGTATGGGGTTTTCTGGGACCTCAGCCCGCTCTCTGGACTTCAGGGGCGCGCGCGCGCGCGTGCGAAGCAGACATGGGGGCCAACCCACGACCTTTTAAGGTTTATGGTTTAGGGTTTAGGGTTCAGGGTTTAGGGTTTAGGGTTTAGGGGCCAGGACTCTCCCCAACCCTTCTTGCATCTGGGCTTGGGCAGTCGGCCGGGGATGGAAGTTGCGGCTCTCAAGGCACAGCACATCTCCCCAACCCTAGACCCTAAACCCTGAACCCCAAACCCTGAACCCCAAACCCCAAACCCCAAACCCTAAACCCTAAACCCCTAACCCTAAACCCCAAACCCTAAACCCTAAGCCCCCACCCCGACACGGGGGGTGCAGACGGGGAGCCCTGCCCACCCCCGAGACGTACAGGGGCGTGTTGTCCCTGAACCTGGCCAGGGCTTGAGGGCTTACAGAGTAGGGGTTGAGAGTTTAGGGTTTGGGGGTTGAGGGATTTTGGGGTTTGAGAGTTTAGGGTTTGAGGGTTTAGGGGTTTTGGGGTTGAGAGCTTAGGGTTTGGGGGCTTAGGGGTTTAGGGGTTGAGAGCTTAGGGTTTGGGGGTTTGGGTGTTTAGGGGTTGAGAGCTTAGGGTTTGGGGGCTTAGGGGTTTTGGGGTTGGAAGCTTAGGGTTTGAGGGTTTAGGGGTTTAGGGGTTGAGAGCTTAGGGTTTGGGGGTTTAGGGGTTTTGGGGTTTGGGGGCTTAAGGGTTTAGGGGTTGAGAGCTTAGGGTTTGGGGGTTTAGGAGTTTAGGGGTTTAGGGTTTAGGGCAGGGTTTAGGGTTTGGGGGTTTAGGGGTTTTGTGGTTGAGAGCTTAGGGTTTTGGGGCCTTTGGGGCTTCTTGGGGCCCTTTTGGACTTGTGAGGGCTTCTTAGGGCTTAGGGTTTAGGGCGCCAACTGCCAAGTGCAAGTCGCCACGGCGAGCCAGCAAAGTTTAGGGTTTAGGGTTTAGGGTTTAGGGCTTAGGGCTTAGGGTTTTGGGTTTAATGTTGCACCCGCAATATTCTAGGGGGCCGCTATTATGAAAAGTTTTTCGGCTATTCCGGATCTGGACCCTTTGTTTTGAAGGTCCGCTATAATGAAAAGTTTTCGGGCCGTGACTGTTTTTTTGAGGAAGGCATAAGGTTCTCGAGAAGGAGAGATACTTGAAGCCTGAAGCCTCGACCTGTCCAGGATCTCCGACAATCTTCTTTTTTCAGGGCGCCTTTTCTTTATAAATTCCTTACTTAAAACTAGATGATTCCATAGGCGAATCATATCCGGAAAGGGGGTACCTTACGGAGGCCTCCGGACACACTTTAATACCTTTGTTTGGGGGCCCGCTATAATGCAAGTCTCCCGGGGCCAGGGGCTCAGTCCTTCGGTTTTCAGGAAGGCATAAGCTTTCTCGAGAAGAAGGGTACTTGAAGCCTGAAGCCTCGACCTTTCCAGGGTCGGGGGGTAGCTTAGGGAGGCCTCCGGGCTCCGGACCCCCCCCCCCCCTGACTGTTTGGGGTCTTTTTTTATTCAGGGTCGCGACTGTTGAGGGGGGGGGGGGGGGGGGGGGGGGGGGGGGGGGGTAACTTATTAAAGCAGGTCCAACATTAGGGTTACCATAATGAAGCATGTCAAGAGTCAAAGGTCTCTCTCTCTCTCTCTCGCTCGCTCGAATCCCAAATCCTCCGCAAGTGCTCCCGCCCACTTCGACCGTTTAGGGCTTAGGGGTTGGGATGTTCCCCCTCCTACTAGCAGCCCTTCATAGGGATCATTGTACACCCTCTTCTATTCCCTACTAAGGACTGTTCGGATGTTTCGGGAGAATCCCAAGCTTAAGGGGCTTGGTGGCTTTGCTTTTTTGCCGGGCCTATACTTCTAATGCTGATGCGGGATACAGGTTTGAAAACGTCGGTCAGGTTCAGCGGGAACCAGAGGCTAACCTTTGGGAAGATACCCAGACACTCCACTACCCCTTAATTAAGGAATGTTCCTTAAAACATACCAGGATGGTTTAAGGAATATTCCCTGATAAAAAGGTATTGGAGCCTCTGTATGCGTGGCGCGGTTTCGGGTTTAGGGTTTGGGTCGAGGATCATCTCTTTCGAAAGCTCCCGACAAAAAAGGCCTGGACTCAGAGGCTGAAAAACCCTGAGCCCTAAACCCTAAACCCTAAACAATCTGGGCGGGGGGGGGGGTAAGGGTTTACGGTTTAGGCTTCAGGGTTCCCCCCCCCCCCCCCCCCCAAAAAAGAGCTCTTCCCTGCCAGCCCCAGGGGCAGCATGAAGATGAAGGCCAAGGGCAGAAAGACCAGAGAGTTGTGGAAGGTCAGCGGGTGGATGTTCATGATAATGAAGAAGGCCACCATGAACACCAGCCTAGGGGGTGGTGAGGTTTAGGATTTAGGGTTTGGGGTTTGGGGTTTAGGGTTTAGGGTTTGGGGGTTTAGGGGGTTTAGAAAACTACTGGCGATCATACTGCAAGACCTCTACATCACATACGGCCCCGATGTGGTCGAACTTGTTGACACCTTCACCCCTCACCCCCCAAATAATATGGGGGCTTAACAATTAAAACAGGGTTTTTGGAGGGGAATATTTTATAGGGACCATAGGGGAAGACTAGTCGAAACTATTACGACCCCTGTATGACCCTAACCCCAAAATCCTAACAACTGTCAGCCGCGCATACTCACTCTGATGAACCATCCTGTTTTGCAATAGAGGACCCAAAAAGGGGGCTACTTTAAAGTAGGTTGCCCGAACGACGTCCCAACCACCTCGCTCCCCTCCAACCTTGAACATGCCATACTCCTGCGGCGCAAGATAGGGCACCTTTTGAGATTTAGGGCCAGGGTTTCGGGTGCACCGTTCTGTGGCCAGGAAGCGAGAACTGCTGATTCAGGTATTCCAGGGGGCCCAGTTTCTGGTACGGAATCTTCATGCGGTGCAGGACCAGCACGTTGTAGGATAGCCAAATAAGGACACCTCTCCGTGCCAAGTTCGCAACGGTTCAGGGCTCATCAGGGTTTGGGGGCTCGGGCGGGTGCAGCATAAGTCTAGCAGGTTTGCTTCGTTGCCATGGCTTTCTGGCACGTTCTATCTATATCCTCTTGGATGTAGGGTTTGCGGTTCCGTGCTTCCGTGCACAGGGAGGCTCAAGAGCGCAAGGCGCGTCTCGTTGGCTAGAACTGCGCTCAAAGAGGTGTGGCGCAGAAGTGGCACAAAGAGCCTCTGCGGCACTTCGCAAGGAAACCCAACTAGGCGAATATTTGACATGGGGCATTTCCCAAACAACCCCCTAAATCCTCTAATCCTTACTCCAGACAGGGTGCCCTAAATCCTTATCCCGACGCCCTCAGCCAACACAGCGAACAAGTGGCTCAGCACCACTTTGGTGCAAATCAGTGCCAGCTGCACCTCGGGGAGGATCCAGGGTTTGGGGGCATACGAAACACCGTCGAATGGGTACCCCGAGTGTCCACGGACGAGATAACTGGAAGCCTTCCCCCACCCCCTACCACCCACCCCCGACCCCCCCCCCCCCCCCCCCCCCCCCCCTACCCCCCACCATTCCTGCTCGGCCTACCACCCCCTTCCAAGCGTTCCTGAAGCCCTACTGAGCCCTGAATTCGCCTCGGAAACTCTTCCCGAGGCGGCCTTGCTTTCGCGTTTACATTTACTATACTCCCCTTAGAACCTTAATTAAAAATCATGCTTAATATGGTCTTGGTTTTTTAGGTTCATAAGAACGAACACATCCTAAGGGGCTATGGTTTATGTTGGTATTCGTGTTCATGCTACTTCTATCTCTAATACTCATATTCATACCGTCTTCATATGAACTCTAATCATACTCACAGCAATATTGATACAACCACTCCCGGATGGGCGTGACTTGTTGTAAAGGCAGCAGCTTCAAGAAGCCAAGGCACCGTAAACCATAAACCCTGAACCCAGGACCCTGAACCCTAAACCCTGAACCCTTTTTGCAACTGGACCCCTAAACCCTAAACCCTAAACCCGCATTGACATGCTTCATTTTTGTCGTCGTGCTTTCGGGCGCCTGAGGGTTTTGGGGTTAGGGTTGAGGGGGCTGGCGTGTGTTGCTATGGGGGGCTCCGACATCAAAGTCCCCTTCCCAGTGTTAGGTACGTACCTTTCGCGACGGATACGGATCTACCTGCTCAAGCCCCATATGCGGAACCAACCCTCAACCCTAAACCCCAGCAACCCTTTTCTTTGAACCCCGACTCCTGAAGTCAGCTGGGAAAGGCCTTCGACAAACTTTTTGCTTAGCAAACGTAGTAATGCATACAACTTGTCACAAACCTGCGAAATCACGTCTACTGCTTCACCCCAGCAACCCTGAACCCAAAACCCCCCTGAACCCTAAACCCTACACCCAAAACCCCCCTGAACCCTAAACCCTAAACCCTGAACCCTTGCACAAGGCATGTGGGACAGGGGTGGCGCCGTCCAAGCTCTGGCGTACCTGAGCTGGTCATGGGCGCCTGGAGTCTCTTAGCCAGCAATTACTGGGCACCCAATCCTGGGATGAGGGTTTAGGGTTTAGGGTTTAGGGCTTAGGGAGAGTTTAGAGTTTAGGGTTCATGGTGGGTAGGTAGAAGTAAGGTTAGAAGCACCCAAATGAGGTTAGAAGTATAGCTCCCATACGAATAACCAAACTTACAACTACCCATGAACATCCAAGTGGAGCCCAAGACCCCTGACTTGAGGAATGTGCAATATCTAGACCCGAGAGGAACTTAGGAATAAAAAGGGTACCCTTTTTGGTTTTACGGGGATTATAAGGGAACCCCAACCCTAAAAAAGGAAAGAAGGGGCCTACCCCCGGTCCTATGGATCCCGGTGCAGCTTAAGCAGTACACTCCCTCAGAGAGGTTTGGGCTCTCTGGGTCTAGCTCTGCGTGAGGATACAAGCGCATGCAGCTGACAGAGGATCAACAGGGTTTAGGGTTTAGGGTTTAGGGTTTAGGGTTTCGGGTTTAGGGTTGCGGAGCTGTTACAGAGCTACCCGTGAATCTGTTTAGCCCCATAGATTGAGCGTCTTAGGACGGAGACTTTCTCCGATCGGCATCCCATATCTGTGACCATATAGGATCGCGATTCTTATGTTGGGGCCCACCCCAAACCCTAAATCCTAAACCACCCAAGAATCTGGGAACTATTCATGAGTGTGGGGGCCAAACACAAACTTTCTGCGTGTTTTTTGCCATTCAGGGTCTAGTAGGGTTTAGGGTAGCGGCCTTTCAGCCCTTGCGGGGGCTGAGGACTTGCAGGACAGGGGTGTACAGGACTTGTAAGTACAGCTTTTTTGCTTTTTTTGTTGGGCGGGGGGGGGGGGGGGGGGGGGGGCTTACAGGAATGTTGTAGATAGATCTTGTAGGAGGTACAGAGTTTAGGCAGGCATTTATGGGATTCATTAGTTGTGGCTCTTGTGCCACAATGACTTGTCCAGTTTTTTAGCAGGAGGAGCTCAGGGTTTACCTCGTCAACTATCAGACTAGCCAGAAGAATAGCACTTGGAGGTTCATGGGTACTTATAACCCCTGTTATAACTGCACCTATAAGCCCCCTAAGACCCTAAGTAGGTTATAACTAGACTTATAACTGGGGTTATAAGTACCCATGAACCTCCAAGTAACCCTAAACCCTAAACCCTAAACCCTAAACCCTAAACCCTAAACCCTAAACCCTAAACCCTGAACCCTGAACCCTGAACCCTAAACCCTAACCCTAAACCCTAAACCCTAAACCTTCTCGCCTAAACCCCTGAAGGGCCTCAACCCCTTTTCGAGCAATGGACATTGGGGCCGCCAGCACGCATGCACCTTCCCCTTTGAAAAAATCATCAGCCCTGAAGCCTTTTTTCCCATAAACCCTGGACCTTATGTTTAAGCACCAAACCCCAAAACCCTAAACCCTGCAAACTCTAAACCCTATAACATAAACCCTGCAAACCTAATAAATCCTGAACCCTACACCCTAAACTGGCCCTAAAACGTCGGCTACACACCCGAAACCCTAAACCCTGAACCCTAAACCCTAGACCCTAATGAAGCCCCAGTGCAAGGCATTCTTGCGCTGCGTCCTCGGGTCGCCCTCGTCATCCGGATCAAGCTCGCCTCCGGAATGGTTTCGGTCTAGGGCTTAGGGTTTAGGGTTTAGGGTTTAGGGTTTAGGGTTTTGGGTTTAGGGTTTAGCGTTTAGCGTTTAGGGTTTAAGGTTTAGGGTTTTGGGCTTAGGGCTTGGGGTTTCTGCGGGTTTAGGGTTCAGGGGGGCTTCGGCTCTTGCACTCGCGCAGGGCAGGCAAGGATTCGGTCCGATGGTCTGACTCATTGACACTACAAGGAGTCGCGCGCAGGGCATGACCGGATGACAGAAATTCATACAGTGATGAGACTCGACGCAGGACACCCTCTTAGTCTACTACCTGTGAGGACATGGGCCACTCTGTCACGTTGTTTAGATAGGTCAGGAGGTCTTCGCCCATCTGCTTGACATCCTACTAACAGCTCCTGATCTCAGTAAAGCTCACACAACAAACAACTAACTAACCTACCCCATGTCGCATCCCATAGGATTTGAGGTTTCGGGTTTAAGGTTTAGGGTTCGAGGTTTACGGCTAGCTGCCTGACTGACATTCAGGAAAGTGGGGAACCGACTGCTTTCTCGAGACCTGACCCTACTCCTTTCCGAAGCTCCGTCCGGAGGCAACATTTCTTCGAGCCTGAGCGCGGTGCTACGCTATATTTTGGGCGTACCAAACAACACTTGGTGCGCCATTCGGACAACCAAGCTGCACCTTTTTCGGGTACCCTAAACCCTAAACCCCAAACCCCAAACCCTAAACCCTAAACCCTAAACCCTAGCACGTGTTGCACTCCATGTGCTCATCACGCGCTATCAGCTTTACAGGATGCACGCCCAGAACCCTGGAAGCACACTGAGACGTTTCCCCGCCTTCCTCCAGCCACGTGGTCTTCTTGGCAAGGAGGCACCAGCCAAGGCAGATCAAGAAGCAGATCTCGCGGAGGGCTTCTGTGAACGTGCTGGGGGTGGGCGCGTGCGATCATGACCGAGCATGTCCGAAGCCACTATCGAGGATTCCCATAGGGAGCACTGCATGACATTCAGGAGGGATGGCGCATTGCAAACCCTGCTTGGAGGTTCATGGTACTTACTAACCAGTGATAACTGTACTTATAACCCTACCTATAATACCCCTAAAGGGCCTTAGAGGGGTTATCCCAACTATAAGTAGGGTAATAATTATAAGCCCAGTTATATGTGGTTATTAAGGCCCTACTTATCATACCCCTAAAGGGCCTTGTAGGGGTTATCCCAAAGTACACCCTTTTGTTCACCCCCCAAATCCTAAACCCCGTGAAAAAGCCAGGGCCTTGACCCGAAACCTTTTAGGGTCTAGGGTTTAGGGTTTAGGGTTTAGGGTTTAGGGTTTAGGGTCTGAACCCGTCTGCGTTTCCTACTTGGAGGTTCATCATGGTACGTATCAACCAATGATAACTGTACCTAGAACTGTACTTAAAACCATGTTAGGGCACTTAAGGGGCTTAGGTACAGCTATAGTTGGTTAAATACCCTAAACCCTAAACCCTAAACCCTAAACCCCTTGGTTAATAAGTACCATGAACCTTCAAGTAGACCAAGTGGCCACGCGGAGGAGGAGGTAGACTCGAAAGCGCATGTTGCCATGCAGATGAAGCCTCAGCGTTCCCCCATTAATTGTATCCCCTTTTAATTAAAGAATATAGACCCTACAAGCCGTACTCACGATATAGGCCCCCAACGATAACTATTCATACATCTATATATATATATGTATATACCCCAAACCATAGTATGCCTATATACATATATTTTTATTGAATATTTGAAAGGTCTATTCCCTAAATAGGAGTAGCGGGCTTCTTGGGAACGTGTCATTCTTGCATGGACGCTTCGGCATTCCCAAATTACTATTCAGGGCTTCGGGCTTGCGGTTTTCTGGAGCCGGCTACGGGTCCTGGTGACTTTGCGCTGCCTCTGCCCCTCATCCTAGGCCCATACATCAGAGGCCTTTTGAGGAGGGCATTTTTGCGGGTTGCCTTTTGCAAGTTGACTTTTGCGGGTTGCTTTTTGGGTTGCCCTTTGCGCCCGCCTCCGAAAACGGCAAAATTCAAAATTTTCTCCACTGCGCGGGCCTTTTGGTGCTGATTTTGAAAATTTTCTCCGCTGCGCGGGCCCTTGAAAATATCTGATAATTCAAACCCTAGACCCTAGACCCTAAACCCTAAACCCTAAACCCTAAAGACACAGCCAACCTGGCACTGCGAGAAAGTGAGCTGGCAACTGGGAGTTCAGCCCTCCGTGCAAAGTCCCTAATCTGAGGCGAAGCTGTAGACTGCGAGGGTTCGCGCATGTTGGTGCCTGTAGCACTCAGTGCGAGCCGCAAATCTAAGTGCTGGCATAGCACAACAGGCATGCAGAGTACAGACACGCGGTCTGTGTATACTAAACTGGCGAATCGCTTTTGTGGCTTGGCCACTAGAGAAGTTGAAGAAGCGAAGAGGATAGCCAAGGCGACGCTGCGACATCGGTTGCAGGAGGCAGGAGGTGAGCCAGTCCCAGCAACTGCGGACGGGGGACTTCGCCAAAAGGGATGGCAACACGAAGCGGGCCGAAGGGGAGGGGTTGGAGAGTGGAAAGCAGATAAACAAGACACGGGGGCCCTCAAGGAAGACGAGTGCAGGGGCGCGCGAGCTTTGCCATTGGGGGGAAGGGGGGGGAAACAAGAAAAGGAACGTTACAGTGGCCAACACTCCGTGTAACATGCACTGCGACGCAGCGTACACGCTAAGAGACTTGAATGGGGGGCACCGAAGATCTCTCAGCCCCGGTTTTGCTTTGGAACTGGAACCGAAGGTGATGCTTGGCAGCCAGCACTCAAGCTTTGCAAGGAACTGCCCATGTGGAGCCTCAGTCCAGGCCGTGACGCTCTGGCTCCTGAGACTCGGTGTGGCTGGTGTCCTCATCCTGGCCCACAGCCACCATTGGAGACTCGTCATCGTCCTCTTCGTCCTGGTTCCAAACCATCATCGCCTCCTCAAGCAAGCAGGCCTCGTCATTGTCCTGCTCGTCCTGGTTCCAAACCCAAGGATCGTCACTGGTGCACGCACCACGAAAATCCATGGCCCCATACTTCTTGACCAAGGAGCGGCACGCATGGGCCTGGCCACCAGGTACACATCCGCGGCGAACAGACATCTGCAGCAATCTATGCTCCGTCACCATTCAACTTTTCAGTCGCTTCGACACTGCCGGCTGCGGCAGTTGCGGTGGCGCAGGGCCATGGGGAAGACTGAAAATCCTCAGGCACATTGCCGTCATGAAGCTAAACGCGTGGTTCTGCGGGCATGTTGTTGGCAGCAGCCGGCGCCCTGCAGTTGTTGGTCATGAGGTCCTCCGCCGCTTGTCGCGGCGTCTGGAAAACACAATAACTGACAAGAACTCGAGACGTGCACTCATATGACTGCAAAAAACGCAAACCTTGAAATAATTTTCTGGCGGCCTAGTGCGCGTGGACATACTGTCAAGCACGTAACCCGAGTGTGTTACTACTTTTTGAGACTGGACTCGCCTTTCGCGTTTGGCAGATTCAGGCATCCTCTCTACCTCTTGCAAGCCCCATGCTGTCCACAACACTTTTCGCCTCGCGTGTTTCCACCCAGGCAGGCTTCATGTCGTGCAGCGTGCTGCGCTGTCCCCGCAAGAAGCCGTCCTTGAGCTGCAAAATTTGCTTCACCTCCTGTTTTTGCTCTGATTTGTCCTTGGCCGGGCCGTTGTCCAGTCGAGGTCGCGTGTGGGTTTCTGGATGCGTGGCCAAATAGCAATACGACCAGAAGCAACGGCTGGCGGCGCTGGCATAGGAGAGTCATCCGAATCACGTCGAACTTGGCCAGCCACCTCAAACAACGCATCCAAGGTCAAGTTCTAGGGCCACAAACGCCAGCGTGTGATCAAACTTTTGAAGCGCTTGGGCGCATGTGCCGGAGCACCGAACTCAATCGGGCTGGCGCGCCCAGTTTCACAAGAACCTATTCGCCTGATGCAACAAGTGACTCTGGCCGGGCCGACTTGAGACCGCCGAGAATCCGAAGTGCAAGGCGGAGGTGGCTTCTACTGTGCCGCAAGTCGCCCACGCCAAGATGCCTAAGCTCTCCGTCCCTCCCTCCAGAGACTGGGCGAGTGATGGTTCGGCCCTTATTGTTTTCGGACCAGTGCCTTCGCCCTCTGGTGAGGAACTCCGCAGTCAGGCCAGCCAGCATGTTGGCAGCTCCTGTGATGAAGGCACTGGCTCCTCTGCCAAGCCTTGGGTCTCGGCCTGCTGCACATGTGTTGGTGACAGCGGCAGCTCCTGCACCGCCTCCTTTTCGAGGGAGGCCAGGACCTGCGCCACCTGCAGCTGCGAAATCGCGAGGCTGTCGGCAGCATGGGCCCAACTGGAATGCACGGAAGGTCGGAAAGTTTGAGCCGTCTGAAAATTTGCTCGAGCCAAAGAGTTTAGGGTTTAGGGTTTCAGATGCCCCTCTTCAGGTACGCTTCTAAGGCACGTGTAAGAGTTTCTTGGGGGCTGTATGACTGGGTCCCTAATAGAAAAAACTCCGTCATCGCATTGAGCAAGGCCAGTTTAGGGTGGGTTTTAAGGTTTAGGGGTGGAGGTTTAGGTAAAGTTTTGGGTCCTAGACCTATTTGCAGGTTCATGGCTCTACGAACCCAATGGTAACTGTACTTGCAAGGCAAATCAAACTTGTGATTGTGCACTTTCGTGACCCAATAAGCCTTGTGACAGAATGAGCTTGAGCCAAAAAACCCAATTAACCCTAAACCCTAAGCCCTGAACCCTAAACCCTAAACCCTAAACCCTAAACCCTAAACCCTAAACCCTAAACCCTAACCCTAAACCCTAAACCCTGCACGACCTTTAGCTGTTTCAAGCCGGCCCAGCTGCAGACTGTTGTGGGACATGTCGTTCTCCCATCCCCTGGCTTGCTTGGAGGTTCATGGGTAGATATCAGTAGGGTTGAGGGTTTAGGGTTTAAGGTTTAGGGTTTAGGGTTTAGGGTTTAGGGTTTAGGCCTTCCTATAAGCCTTACAGGTACCCTAGATAGGGTTATAACTCTGGTCACCATCATTGACCCTAATTGTAACTATTCATGAGCCTCCCTCAGGGAGCTACGCAGGGTTAGGCGATTCTGGCGCCGGGCTTTGATCCTCGGGAGCTTGTTGAGAGTTGAAGTGCCGATGTTTGTTGCCTTGGATGTTTTGTTCGTTGTTGCGTGTTTTCTTTTTGTGTGGGGGGGAAGGCGGGGGGGAGGGGCAAAACCCTAAACCCTAAACCCCAAACCCTAAACCCTAAACCCTAAACCCTGGGGGGAAGGGGGAGGGGGATGCAAAGGGTTTAGTTTAGGGTTTTTAGGGTACAGGGGGGGAAGCTTCAAACATCCGGGATGTGCTGGTATAGTCAGGGCTTGCGGTTTGCTGCAAGCTGGATTCCAAAGAGCCGGATGCCCCCCCTTAATTAAGGAAGAGATGTTCAAAACATGATACAGTATAAGGATCCCTATATGGTTTAAGGTATATTCCTCAATTGAGGTGGTTTGGGGGCTCTCCGGGTTCTCATCCCCCGGCACTAACTTCAAGGGTTCCGATGTTTCCCATTTCGTATAGTGTAGGCCTCGACCATGTCATGACTCGGAGAAGGCTGAGCGAGTGGTTGAAGGTTTTTAGATTTTGCAAGGTTCGGGGTTTAGGGTTGAGGGGTTAGGGAAAAGCTCTCCACAGGAAGGGCAAACGATCCCCAATCACAGGTCCCACAACACTCCGCGCCGACTCAAAAGCGGCCGTCACCCTGAGCCATCATCAAACCCCGAACCCTTCACGGTTTAGGGTTTAGGGTTTAGGGTTTAGAGTTTAGGGTTTAGGGTTTAGGGCTTAGGGTTTAGGGTTTAGGGCCCCCCCTGCATAGGGTGCAGGATGCTTCGCAGTCGAATATGTGCGGGGATTACCCGGCAGCCCCGACTCCCTGAACCGGGTTTAGGGTTTAGGGTTTGGGGTTTAGGGTTTCGGGTTTAGAGTTTAGGGTTTAGGGCGAGTGCCTGATATGCTCCATGTGGAGGATTTCCGCCATGGATGATATTGCGATGATGAGGGTCAAGATGTTCCTTGGCATCGTCTCAAGGCCCCCTTCTTTCACCACCCTCCTAGACTTAGTGAGACATGCCTTCTCTTTCTAAACCTTACACACCACGCATTTGTTAAGGATTTTGGCTAGCGGCTATCTACGTTCAGGGCTCAGGGCTCAGGGTCAGTGCTGCCCTGAGCACTTAGCATGGAACTCCTTTTCGTGGTCGAGTTTGAGGGCCTCCAGGCCTCAGGAAGGAGCCTCATGTAGGATTCTTAACTTTGCCACCTGCCATGCAGACACGCAGTGCGATTTGGAGTTTAGGGTTGAGGGTCTTTTAGACAACCTCTGTAGTCTGGGAACTGGATCGCCTCCCCTACAAGAAACACATTCAATTCCTGATTCCTACTAGGTTCCTCCGTGCCAAAATCCAAACCTGCAACGCTCACAGTCCGCCCAGAGACTCCAAGACTCCTTAGTTAAGGAATACTCCCTAAAGTATATAAGGAACCCTGTTCTAAATACAGGAATATCCCTAAACCCTAAACCCCAAACCTCAAACCCTAAACCCTAAACCCTATTCCTTAATCAAGGGATATTGGAGCCCCTGGGCAACCCGATGCCGCAAGGGTTCTGTCGGAGCGCGAAGCCCGGACAAACAGCCTTCTGATGCCACCAACCTCCGGCGAGGAGTTCAGCAAGTTTAGGGTTTAGGGTTTAGGGTTTAGGGTTTAGGGTTTAGGGTTTAGGGTTTAGGGTTTAGGGTTTAGGGTTTAGGGTTTAGGCATGTGCTTAAACCCTACAGCCTCTAACACCTAAACGCCATAGAGACCCTGAACCCTCTAAGTTTCCTAGGGAAATTTGTTGACATAAACTAAGCAAGGAGACTAAAGGTCACTCACCTAACTTGGGCTTCAGAACCCAACCCCTTGAGTGTAGGGTTTGGGGTTTGAGGTTGAGGGGTTAGGGTTTGATGGCACCCCGCTAAGAACCCCGCACCTGTAGCAACATCATAGGAAGCCGGGGCACCTTTTTATGTTTTGAGGGCCATTCCCTACATGCCCGCTTTGGGGTTTAGGGTTTAGGGTTTAGGGTTTAGGGTTCAATTTTCATGCCGCCGAGGCACAGAACCACTCCTTCTTCTCCTTGCCCTTGAGCTTGGAGGCATCCTTACCACGGAGAGCACGTCTAGGATGAAGAATCGCCCCCCAATGCCCCTAAACCCTACAAACCCTACAAGCCCTATGAACCCTATAAACCCTGTAAACCCTATAAACCCTGTAAACCCTATAAAACCTATAAAACCGACAAATCCTATAAACCCTGTAAACCCTATAAACCCTGTAAACCCTATAAACCCTATAAACCCTACAAGCCCTGTAACCCTACAAACCCTAAACCCTTTGAACCCTGAACCCCCCTAAACCCGAAACCCCGTACGTAGACCCTAAACCCTAAGACAAGGAAATCCAAGTGAGCTCTCGGATTGAGGATGCTGAACCTTGCCTCCTTTGGTTTTGCGTCGGGGAAAAGAAAGGTATAGGGTTTGGGGTGTAGGGTTTAGGGTTTCTTTAGGGTTTAGGGGATACTTGAAGATCTACGGTAACCCTAAAACCTGAACCCTAAACCCTAAACCCTAAGCCCGCTGAAACAGGGAGGACACTGGGTACAGAAGTGGCTCGTTCATGTGCTTGACTACTCAGCGACCCTAAACAACCCTAAGCCATAGGCAGATGCGAAGAGGTTAGTCTGAAGGCCTTAGGGGAAAATACTTGAAGCTGCATGGGTAATTAAGTAGGGTTAGGAAGTATGGTAACTAACTTGCAGCCCTTTTCGGGGATGGAACGTCTTTCTCCTATGTTTTACTTGGTACCCCTGTAACCATATTAAGAGCACCCTTTTTGGTTGGTTATTTGAGAAGAGAGCCTTGAACCAAAAGCAAGGGACAAGGGTACCAGTGGGCTACCAAGTTTAAGACTGAGGTTTATGAGGCTTCAAGGTCTCCTCCCGGATTAAGGAGGGGCAGATTCTTGCTCATCCGAGTCCTCGATTGACGGTGGCTGTTCATGCATTGCTATCCCTAAGGATCCATGTACCTATATAGTATGTGCTTGGGCCCTAAAGCTACTATATGAGAACCAATTTAAGGCCCAAGTATATATACTATATAGGTACATGGAGCCTTAGGGTATCTACGCCAGAGTTCTGAGTTTGCGGTGAAGTGCACCTTGATGCTGGTGTTCGGCCTCATAATTGTCCTTTTCCGCTGAGCACTGCTTGAGACCGGGCACTGCAGCACGCGCCCTGAGGCACAAAATGCCAGCAACACCTCACCTGCCCAGTCCTGCGTGGCATTATAGTTGTATGCGTGCACAGAACTACTAATTGCTTAAGACCCCCCAAAACAAAAAATGTTCTTCCTTATAAGGGTAATAAAGGAATTCTTATTTGTTGTTTTTTTATTTTCTGGGGGTTCTTCAGCAAGTAATTAGTAGAGAACAGGAGAGGCGTACTATGGGCATCGTGATGGCCCGCCGCCATCTGTTGTCAGGTGAAGCTGGCCGCCAAGATTTCGCCGCTGGCAGTCCCGCGGCTCGCATCCCGCAACATCCTCCCTAAACCCTAAACCCGAAACCCTTAGCCCGAAACCCTAAACCCTAAACCCTTTGTCTTAGGTTTAGGGTTTAGGGTTTAGGGTTTAGGGTTTAGGGTTTAGGGTTTAGGGTTTAGGGTTTAGGGTTTAGGGTTTAGGGTTTAGGGTTTAGGGTTTAGGGTTTAGTGTCTGTTTACGATTTTCGGAGGCGAGCTTTGAATTATGGGGGGGAGTGTACTGAACTGAACCCCCCCCCAACACTACAGATGAATCAAAGGGATCCAAACTCACGTACCCTTGAATTGTGTAACTAACCCTAAACCCTAAACCCTAAACCCTAAGCCCTAAGCCCGAAGCCCTAGACTCCCAACATAGCCCCTCTAGGGATCTTGAAGGGTTTAGGGTTTAGGGTTTAGGGTTTAGGGTTTAGGGTTTAGGGTTTAGGGTTTAGGGTTGACATAGGCTGTGCCTACTTGGAAGCCCTGTTGACGTGGCAAGTCTACTTAGTATCCTCTGGAAACCCTATTCTAGTCCCCACAACCCCCTGACTAACCCTACTTGCTAAGTCAAAAGGGTCCAAGTACTAAGCCCCTAAGACCGGAACCCCTAACGACTAACAGTACTTACAAACATAAATACTAATTGGGAATATACAACATAACAAACACATACAGAATCAGAAAAAGATAAGAATCGGAATATAGGAATGTGGGAATATAGGGGTATAGAGGTATAGGAATATAGGAATATAGGAATATAGGAATATAGGAATATAGGAATATAGGAATATAGGAATATAGGAATATAGGAATATAGGAATATAGGAATATAGGAATATAGGAATATAGGAATATAGGAATATAGGAATATAGGAATATAGGAATATAGGAATATGGGCTTATGGGAATCTGGGGAATATGGGAATATGGGAATGTGGGAATGTGGGAATATTCCTACAAGAATTAGGAACTAGGAGGAGTATAGGAAAATAGGAATAAGTAACAAGAAGAACCCCAAAAACATCTTCAGCCGAAGGCTCCGCGGAGAGCTGGGCATCCATAATCTTGTCGAACTCGTCGTCGTTCTGAGGGCGCACGCAACAAAGGGTTTAGGGTTTAGGGTTTGGGGTTTAGGGTTTCGGGTTTAGGGTTTAGGGTTTGGGGTTTAGGGCGAAGGCACGGTTCCGGTGTGGGGAGTTCACACGATAGGAGCCTAAACCGTTCTGTCCCCAGTTACAAAAAGCCGCCAAAAAGCAAAAACCTGAACCGCTCTGCCCAAATCCTCCACGGCCCCAAGCAGACCCTAAACCGCTGTCCCTTGGGATGTGCCCCCTTATACTAACACTCCTGGATAGGAAATATAATAGCGGGTACGATATAAGGGGGAACATCCCCAGCTGTCCCTTAAAGCCCTCTAACCGGCCTTTCTGACGACCCTCAGAGGGAAAATCCCGGGCTTTGCCACGAAGGAGCTCTGATCCCAGGGGACAACCTGCATGTTTTTTACGGCTTAGGGCTTACGGTTTAGGGTCTACTGCTTATGAGGGTATAGCAAGGGCTTGGACTAGGTTCATGCAGGGGCAAGGTTCTGCAGCACTACAGGAGCAGTGGACATCAGTCGCCCCAAGGGGTTTAAAGTTTAAAGCTTAGGGCCTTTTGCCTGGGCTTTGGGTTTGCACTTTGGCATTTCGCGGACGTTTCGGCCGAAAAGTCCCCCAGAAGAAAAACGAGAAAGAGAGCCCACAAACCCCTGAATCCCAACCCTAGACAAAAAATAAATTTGGACCCCTAACAGAGGTCTACGAAGTGAGGCAAAGGAGTGGGTGCCCTAGCGCCCTCTGGGCCCATGCGCCTCATTGCTGTTGTCCAGAACCTGAGAACTCAAAGCGCCCAACTTGCCCGCCTACATTGTTGGAACGCGCATAACCTGTTTGGCGTTTAGGAATTTACCTCAAACCACAGCAGGGACCCTTAGGATAGTTGAGGGCGTCTTCCCTGATTCAGGGGTATATTGGGCTCTTTGGGGAGGACTTGTTCGTGGCATGTGGTCATTTCGCTTGACTCAGGTTTTCAATGCAGCCCCTCACCTGAGGTGGATTTGGGTGCCCTGTTACACCCCAAGCCTACTAGACCCTAAACCCTGAATAAATTCTACGAGCATGGGCCATGCAAGGCTACATACTTCTCAGGGGTCAGAGAACACTTAGGGTCAGCAAAGGGGCAAAAACTTTGAGAAGTGCCCATGGGCCTGTGGGTAGGGTTCCCAAAGAACACTGAATACACCTTACATCGTAATAAAGTGGTTTAAGGTCTATTCCTTTAACCTTTCATGACTACATGTACCAACAGAGGTAAGAAAGCAACTCTCACAGCTAAATACACCAACAAAGGCAATAAAGGTAAAAATGTACGATGTGTTGTGGTAGATTTGATTACGTAGTATGCTGAAGTAAGGGGTTTGGGGCTCTCTAGGTTTAGGACTTAGGTTTCGAGCCCCTACAGCATGCTGTCTTGGACCTGGGTAGTCGCCCCTAAACCCTAAAGACCCTAAACACTAAGGAGGGTGGGGGCAGGGGTTTCAACAGCCTGCGTCAGAGGGAGTTCTCAGCCATGAACCCAACCAGCACGTGGTGATGAACAAGCGTATTGTAGCAGCCTGAATGGTTCTAGGGGGGGTTATTAATTATAGTACAACTACAAAGGGACCATAAGGGAATGTGTTTAGTAATTATTCCGACCCCTATATTACGTCTGCAGGTGAAGGTGCGAGGTAGTCGCCTTGATCATCGCGACTGCCGATGTAGCCTTCGATGGCCTTCCAACAGGGAATGTTGAAGGTTTTTTTGTCACCCGCCTAGCTGATGCAGAACATCGCACTGAAAGGTTGAAGGTTTAGGATTTAGGGTGTAGGGTCTTGGGGATTTTGAGATTTCAGACCCTAACCCTACACATGAGCACTGAATCTGGAAGAACCGCAGAACCGGACCTGAACCCTTTAGTCGCCTTAAGTGCCCAAAAGAACCCGAACAGTGCCTACACCACCATCCCCTATAGAACTAGGGGTTGCTGAGGCAGCCCGGTGCTTAAGGTTCAGGGTTTCAGGTTGCCCGTTTGCAAGATCCGAGTCGAGTTCCATGGATCCGCAGGAGCGAACGCATCTTTTACATTCCCCCCCTCCCCACCCCCTCCCCACCCCCCTCCCCACCCCCCCACCCACCCACCCACCCAGCCCCAAACCCCACCCCACCTCACGCCACATCTCCACAGTGTAGTCAGGGGCAGACGAACTTAGGGTTTAGGGTTCAGGGCTGAGGTTTAGTATCCAGAGTCCGCTGTACTGGGAGGAGGATGGATCGGGGGACTAGGTAGGCACCAAGCATTTTTTTAAAGGGGACCAAGCATCACTTCCATTGCCCCCTGAGGGAGGGTTGAATCCCCAGTTCTAAACCCCTAAACCGTCCACCCCAAGCCCATATCAGGACCCCGTAAAAACCCCAACAGAATTCCCTGATGCAGTTATTTGCTCAAGGTTCCCCTAAACCTAAGCCCCCAAACCCTGAACCCTTTTGCAACTGGACTGCGGTACAACCCTGTCCCTGAACCCTAAACCCTAGACCCACAACACCCCAACCCGAGCCAGAAGAATCTCTAGCCTGGCGCCAGGATTCGCTATACTCCACGGAGTCCTCCAAGGGACTCCAATACCCCATAACTAAGGAATCTTCTTTAAGATATACCAGGGTTCCTATAGGGTTTAGGGTTTAGGGTTTAGGGTTCAGGGTTCCTACAGGGTTTAGGGTTTAAGGTTTAGCCTGAAATGATAATAGCGTTCCTTAGATGGTTTAAGGAATATTCCTCAATTCAGGAGTCTTGGAATCCCTAAACTGTTTCAGGTTTCTTACAGGGTCTTGAGGTATGAGGGTTTGGGCTATTCGGGTCAGGGTTTAGGGTTCAAGGTTCTCGGTGTTCGGGGCAAGGGTTTAGGGTTTAGGGTTTAGGGTTGAGGGTTGAGGGTTTAGGGTTTGGGGTTTAGGGTTTAGGGTTTAGGTTTTAGGGTTTCGGGTTTTCGGTTTTCGGAGCAGGGAGTTGGGGTTTAGGGCTCAGGTTGCCGCTGACTTTAGCTTGCAATTGCAAGTGCAGGTTGTATACGCAAGATTATCCTTAAAACCTAAACCCTAAACCCTAAACCCTAAACCCTAAACCCTAAACCCTAAACCCTAAACCCTAAACCCTAAACCCTAAACCCTAAACCCTAAACCTCGGAGTCAAAGAGTACCATTTGTGGTTTGCGGGGGCTGCAGGGGTTTAATAAGGGAACCAGAACCCCTAAAAAACGGAATGGGGGTCTACTCTGTGTCCTAATCGTGTTTCCCCTCGTTATTAGTCGTGGATAAGGGAATGAGATACCTTATATCCACCTATATATACCCTAACAAGGATTATATAGGGTACCTCATTCCCGAGTAAGAACCAGTAAGTGCATACAGGGGTTATGGGATAAGACCGGACGCCAAAAACCGTCGGCCATTTTTGTTTGGGGGCTTCACAAGGTCTAGGGCTTAGGTAGTTTGAAGTTGGGGGGTTTGCTCGCTCACAGACCAAGGGCATAGGGTTGAGCGAAAGCACCGAAGTCACTAACCACGTAACGATTTTCGTCGCAACCCCCATTCATAGTCAACCCACCCCCCGCTTGGCAAGGAAGCCACCCAAAACACTGCACCGTAAACCCCAAACAAACATCGGTCATCATCCTCCTCTCCTGAATTTCGGCCGTCTAGACATTGCCGGTTGAGCATAACCCCAATCCCGGAACCCTGAGACCTAAACCCCATGTTTTGCACCCTGAACATAAGAACCCTGAAGTCCCAATAATTGATCAACTGCCACGTTCAGGCCTGCTCTCCCTGCGGAACGGACGCGGAGGACCTGCCCCGGGTAAGGCCGCGTGCGCCCCGCCTACACCCTAAACCCCGTCAAAACCCTTGACAACAAGAAAGCCCTACCAGTGCTACCAGTTATATATATATATACTTGCTTGTAGGGTTCACGTTTGCCGTCGCTTTGAATTGAGCCGAGCCCTTCAACACTCGTCGTTCAGGCTGTTGCCCGTAAGAATGAGTTTCAGCTGGCTCGCTTGGTGGAATTCAATGCACGCATTGGCTGTGTCGCAGAAAACTCTTGAGCACCTGTTGCCTTTGTATCTGCTGCTGAGACTTTTCTAGGAGTCTCGAAGGTTATGATTTGCGAAGCGCGGCGCTGCTGCGAACTCCCAACACTGAGTTCTACCCGGCACCCCCCTCACCCCACCCCCCAACCCGCCTCCCACAAAACCCTCAACCCCCAAACCCCCTACTTGGACGTTCAGGGGTAGTTCAGAAGTAGGGCTATAAATGCCCTAAATCGGGCTAGAAGCAATAGTGACCATGCTTCTGCCCCTACTGGAAACGACCCATGAACCTCCAAGCAAGCCCTTGTTCAAGCCCGCAATTGCAACATTCCAGCAACCCAAGGTCCCCACCTCCCCCACCCCAATTCTTGTCGGATTCAGGGCTTAGGCTTTAAGAATTCAAGGATTTAGGGCTTTAAGGATCTAAGGATTTAAGGATTTAAGGATTTAAGGATTTAAGGATTTAGGGTTTGGGGTTTTATGGCTTGGGGTCCTAGCGCTATGAACCCCCAGACCTGTCTGAGGTGGCGGGTTTCTTCTCCTCCGTGTCCTGCTTGAAGGTTCATGGTACTTACTAACCACTTATAACTGTACTTATAACCCTACTTATAATACCCCTAAAGGGCCTTATAGGGGTTATCCCAATTATAAGTAGGGTTATAAGTACAGCTATAAGTGGTTATTAAGTCCCATGAACCTCCAAGTGGCCAGCGTGGAACTCACTCAGGCTTCCGAATGTAGGGTCGAGGCTTTGGCGGCCTAAGGCCTGTAAAAACACAAGAGCCCAATACTCCTTAAAATATAGACCATAAATCATACTAAGGATCCCTGTGTAGTTTAAGGTACATTGATTAGTTAGGGGGGGGTTGGGCTCTCTGGGATTCAGGCTACAGGGTTTACAGGTTGGGGCGTTTACGGAGGGATTTGCAGGTTTGCGATGGGTTTACAATTTGGCTTGGCGAGCCCTTGCAGGAATTTATGGGCCATGCCGCTGAAGGGCTTAGGGCTTATAGGGCGTAGGGTTTCGACTCTCACGCTCGCGCAAGGATGGCAAGGCTTCGACTGGTAGGTCTCGCGGCCCAGCTACTTGCAGGCTTTGAGTCCGAGATATCCTATCAGGCATTCTAACAGGCAATCATGAAGATAACACACAGGCACTAAATAAAGGAGCACAAGCTAGACATGAATGATGAATAATGCCATAAACCTCGAGGTGACCCATCATGCTGGTCAGATAAGGTGCCATTATCTACTCATGCATGAAGTTGATTTATGCCGCTCTTTTGCTCGTGCCTGGACGCGTTCGCCACGCCCTCGAAGTGACGACCCAGCAAGTCGGCTGCTTGCGCGCACGTAGCCGAGATACGCATGGGCCACTCCCGTGGGTCCTGCGCGGCAAACTTCAACTTGCCGTGCTTCTTCGAGGCTTCGTGGCACACGAGGTAGTTCTCCTCCTGCAGCTACGACCAGCCGTAGACAAGCTCCTCTGCAGCGCCGTCCTCATCCTCGGCGAAAGTGTAGTTCAGGAAGGGATAATTCAAGTGGAAAGTAAAGTCAGTCTCCTCGCGATGGTCCACCGAACGTGCCTGACGCACGCGGTAGCACCTTGTGACCAGCCGGGCGTCCAAGTTGTGGCTGCCAGGGACGTTCCCTAGAAGGTCGTTTGCGGTCTAAATCGCACATGCTCTCATTGTCGGCATGTTGGAAACTTGAAGTCCTTGAGCAATTTCAATTTTCTTAGTAGTGTTCTTGGATACTTGCCCAAGGTATACCGAACTCCACATTGTAGAACGCCGCCAGGGACATCCCCTCAAGCCTTGACATCGTGCAGGGCGTCAATGACGCGTGCGACATTTTTCAAGGTTACCTGGACTGACTTCCCTCACCCTCGCTCCGAGAGATCACCATCGGGGGCTTCCTCGAGGCAAAGAGCGCGGTAGGTGTCTACAACGCCTCTGGCCGAAGAAGCAAGATCCTATGCATGTTCCACCCGAACTGCTTCGCTAGCCGTTGAGCATGCACTATATAGACTATACTGATTTATACTACCCAGACACCCAGCGAGAGGGAGCAAAAACCAAAAAGGGGGTAAAGCAAGAAAGAGAGAAGTGAAGAAAGAAGAAGAGGATGTCAACAAAAAGAGTGCGAGACGTGTTGCAAGCCTTGAGCCAAAATGCTGTGGTTTAGGGTTTAGGGTTTAGGGCTTAGGGTTTAGGGCTTAGGGTCGCAGGACTCGTGATACCCAAACTGCGACCGCTCGTACCGAAACCATGCCCCCGTGCAGAAGTCCTGCGTCGAGCCAGACCTTACACACAGGGTTTAGGGTTTAGGGTTTAGGGGCGGCTTACGGTTTGGTCGCCATCATCTGGGCCGTGCCCCGCCGGGTGATGCTTTCCCTCCTCTAGGCTGGCCTGGCCGGCTGGCCCTCAGTACTTCAAAGACTCCGAAAAGAAGTTCTTGACAAGGTTCCTCAAAAAAACAGGACAGGGAGAGTACAAAACATCCCCCCGAGTATGCAAGCGGCCTCCCGAGGCAAGGGGGCTTGGGTTTAAACTGCATCTATTGGTCACATGACTCCTTCCATCCCTCCCGGCGCTCTCTGTCCTAGGGTTTAGGGTTTAGGGTTTAGGGTTTATATAGGGTTTAGGGTTTAGGGTTTAGGTTTAGGGGCGCTGCAGGCTTGCGAGGACTCGCCTGGAATGAGGCCCACAGCTCTCAGCACTGCTGGCATTAAGAGGGAAGCTGCCCCAAGACACCAGTTTATGGAGTGACAGGCGCCTGAACGCCAAAAGCCCTTTACTCGTAACCCTGACCCCTAAACTCTAATTAAGCCACAAACCCTCAGCCCTAAACCCTCTACTCGAAAAAAAACTTGAGCCCTAAACCCTCAACCCTAAACCCCAAATTCCAAAACCGAAGCCCTCAGCCCTAACCCGTAAACCCTCAGCCCTAAACCCTCTACTCGTAACCCTGAGCGCTAAAAACCACGGCCTTACGAAGGACTGGGTGGCCAGGGGGATAACCCTACACCCTAAACCCTAGACCCTAAGCCGTTAGTCGGGGCCCTCGAGCCTCACAGCACTGTCCTAACAGATCCGATGCGTCGGCCCTTGGTGTTATACAAGGTATATAATGATAAGGGGCTCAGGGTTTAGGGTTTAGGTTTAGGGTTCCTTTTGCAACGGGCTTGCTCGCCCGGATTAGGGTTCCTAGACCCTAAACCCTAAACCGGTACATATACATATATCTTAGGTTCCCCAGTTCCAGGCCCAGAATAAGGGATCATGTAACTTCCCTGAGATAATCATTGGGCCTTGACGGTTCTTACGCTTCGAGGGTCATAGGTATTTAGAAGCAGGGTTGTAAGCACAGTAACCCTAGTTGGGTACTTTATCCTACTTACCCGTGAACCTCCAAGTAATGGTAATGAGGACCTCAGGATGCAGCTTGAGGTACAGACCTCATTACGGAGTAGCGGGCTACACGTGCGGGGGGAGGGGGGGGGGGAAACATCTCATGAATTAGAGGCAAGCAAGAGCACACGATCTTGGTCGCCCACGTTCTCTCGCTCTTTCGCTTCAACACCTTGGCTCACGATTTTTCGCTCCGGGTTTGGGGTTTCCTGCCAACCCTCACTCACCCGCAACCCTAAACACAAATTGCAGAGCTGTACACCAGAGCAAAGCCCCGAGCTCAGCAAGAAGCTTCCAGATCATGTGACCACGAGGCAAATCCGAGACCCCTAGGCGCCGACAAAAACCCAAGCCTCTCTCTCACTCTCTCTCTCTCTCTCTCTCTCGCTCTCTCACCCCTTCAAACCTTACACATCTTAAGATCTAGGATTTAGGGCTTACAAGTTATAAGGCCTAGAACTTAAGAACCCTAAACCCTAAACCCTATAGACCCTATATAGACCCTATAGACCCTAAGGGTCTAAAGGACTCAAGCTCTAAAAGCTTCCGATGCCCAAGCTGCGAAGCATCGCACTTTGCCTTTGCCCTTCATCTCGACGTCGCCCCTCTCTTGCACCTCGTGGCTCTTAGACTGGGAGTTTGGGGAGTTTGGGGGGTTTGGGGGGCTTAGGGGGTTTAGGGAGTTTGGGGGGTTTGGGGGGGTTTAGGGGGGTTTGGGGGGTTAAGGGGGTTTAGGGGCTTAGGGGGTTTTGGTAGGCCCCCTGACACCCTACTTGGAGGTTCACGGGTAGGTGTTTAACCAGTGTTTAACGAAAGCTCTAAGTACGCCAAGAATTTAACCAGTTTAGGTACCATAATTATAACCCTACGTATAACTAGGGAACTCGTACTGCTGAGCAGAGAGCTCGGGAATCAGGGAATCCCAAATGCGTGCTGCCGAGGTGCCATGTCGTCGTGGACCTTATCAGGACAACAGGCCGTTTAGGGTGTAAGGTTTAGGGTTTAGGGCTTCTTCCCAACTTGGTCAACCTTCAACCCTCATAAACCCTAAACTTCCACGTGCTCGTGGAATCCTAGACCTCGACACACTCTACACCCTGAACCCTAAACCCTTACGGGGTCTTGGGGTCCCTACAGACAAACAAAACCCCTCAGCGCGGCCCTGGTGGCCCACTTTCGCGTCTCGATGCCGAACTGGACCGTGCCCGGCTCTCCTGCGCAAGTTGGTTGTCATCAATGGGTTAAGGAGTGAACCTCGTTGAGTTTTATTAGAGGTTGCTTTTTACTCTTCTTTTTTTTTGGGGGGGGGGGGGGGGGTTCGGGGTTTTCCGGGTCCAAGGTTTAGGGTCCAGTGTATTTTGCCGCCCTCCCAGCTGACACCTTAGGGTTTGGGGGTTTTACGGGCTCTTCGTGATCCTCATCTGGGGTCTTTCGTGGATTGAGGCCCGACGGCCCGACGAATATGCAAAAGTACTTCGCACGTGATTCTCTCCATCTGTGTGACTAACAAGCTATCTCTCTTCCTGGCTCCTGATAGGATTCGGCAAGTTTTTGGGAATCCTATGAGGAAACCTAGGCGTTGCTCCCAAACTCAATGCACATGTCCCTACTAAGAACCACCACTGCCAAGGTATCCCCAGCCGAATGTCCCGCAATTACTTGAGAAGTACAACAGTACAACTGTAAACCTAAACCCCGGACCCGAATTTCCTCAACTGTGACTACAAAGCTGCCTTGCTACGAAAGATAGGGCTGATAGGGCCACACATGACTTCACTGAATATGAGGGGGGTGGGGGTCCCTTATGCCGAATGAAGGAATACGGTTTAAACTGCAAGGGCATATTGTGCCCCAAGCCCTACACTGACACCCGATGAGCCGAATGAGGGGGCCCTCAGGATTGGAGCAGGCCTTTCTGCATCATTCGCGCCTCGGCATCCAGGGTAACTCATCACAATCCGCAGGCCCTGGAATCCGAAGCTCATAGGGTTTGGGATTTAGGGAACCCCTTCCTGAGGTCTGCGATTGGACGAACCCTAAAAGAGCACGTGAAGCCGACAGCCGCTACTACAGCGCACCTCGTGGCAACGAGGGACAAGCCTGATGGCGTCCGTACGTGACCAGGCGCCAGCCGGTTCCGAACCACTCCCAAAATAAGCGCACGGCAGCCCTATCATGGAACCCTAAACCCTAAACCCTAACCCCTAACCCTAAACCCAGATGCACAAGCCCTCTGGCCAATCAACCTCAAGCCCTAAATCCTACACCCTCAAAGCGAGGTTTTCCGGGCAGCCGGCTGCGGTGTTGATGGTGTTCCCAAAGAGGCGGAAGCCTGTCGGAGGGCTGCCGGGTACATTAGGGTTTAGGGTTTAGGGTTAAGGGTTCAAGACCTTGCGGTTGTGGTTGGGCTTAGGATTTGTTTAGGGTTTAGGGTTTAGGGTGTAGGGTTTAGGGTGTAGGGTTTAGGGTTTAGGGTTTAGGGCTTAGGGTTTAGGGTTTGGGGTTTGGGGTTTGGGGTTTGGGGTTTGGGGTTTCGGGTTTCGGGTTTCGGGTTTCGGGTTTCGGGTTTCGGGTTTAGGGTTTAGGGTTTAGGGTTTAGGGTTTAGGGTTTAGGGTTTAGGGTTTAGGGTTTAGGGTTTAGGGTTTAGGGTTTAGGGTTTAGACGTTGAACAGCCTTAATTTTCAGACCAGAAGTTTGTGTGGAGATGAACAGGGTTTGGCCTAGTACTTGGAGGCTCATGGGAAGGGTTATACCCTAGACCCTAGGGTAGGGTTATCTACTTATAACTTCCCATGAACCTCCGAGTGGGGCCTTAAACCCTAAACCCTCAACCCCAAACCCCAAACCCTAAACCCTCCCCTGCAGCCACAGAGCGGGGAAGCTTGGACCCAATTACGCCAGCGACGATGTCGCCGGTGTGCATGCCTGCGAGGGGTTAGGGTCTAGGGTTTAAGGTTTAGGGGTTAGGGTTTAGGGTTGAGGGTTTAGGGCACCCCTTAAGTAAGGAATGTGCTTCAAATCTCCTGATCATGAAGGGGGGTCTTGGACACTGGGCAAGCCGGGGTGTGGGATTAGACCCTAAACCCTAAACCCTAAACCCTGAACCCTGAACCCTGAACCCTGAACCCTGAATCCTAAACCTACGCTACCCAGGCCCCCTCAAAACTGTCAACCTGGGGGTCCAAGAATCGACATTAGGCGTTAGGGCGGTTCGGGGCTTCGGGGTTTCGGGGTGGGGTTTCGGGCTTTAGGGTTTACGGGTTTAGGGGTTTAGGGGTTTAGGGGTTTAGAGGTTTAGGGGTTTAGGGGTTTAGGGGTTTAGGGGTTTAGGGGCTTATCTAGGGGCTCAGGGGTTTAAAGGGTTTGAAGGGCTGAGTGTATTCCTAGCTTCCCGCAGAGCCTGGCAGGATGCTGAGTTGGGACTTAAAGACCCAACAAGAAGCAGAAACACAACGCCCTGAACACCTCCCCCCCCCCCAAACCCCCCCCCCCCCCCCCGGAAGAAAGAAAGAAAGCCATCCCCACCCCCTTCACCCTAACTACAAAAAAAATAGACACAGCACAGAACAGAGGATAATGAGAAGAATGCAAACATGCCCCCTCCCAGAGAACAAGGCTAGTGCTGGGCCCCCGGGCCCATCTTAAACTTCACCTTGTCCCCCTGCACCTGAGGAGCTCTCTTGAAAGGAGGTTCCCTTTTTGGGGTCCCCATTTCGGGTTTAGTGTTTAGGGTAAAGGGCACCTTAGTTTAAAAACAAAAAAGAACAAAGGCCCCCGAACAGGGACCTTACTTGAGGTACTTGAGGGTCTCGGTTTTTGAGGGTGTGTTTGGCATTCTTCAGTTGTGTGGTTAGGGGAATCTTTCGGGCTAGGGTTTGTTTGGTGTTTCGGTTTGTGTTTTTGTATTTTAGGGAAATCTTTTGTGGTTTTTTCCAGCTTAGGGGTGGCTTGTTTTGGGGGATGTCGCGTTTCGGGAACTGGTTCTTGGAATCTTGGGATAGGGTGTGGTGTTTAGGATGATTTCCTAGACCCCTAAACCTCGCAGCGCGCTGCGGCCCTGGGAGGTCTAGGTTTAGGGGTTTTTGGGCTTAGGGCTTAGGGTTTAGGGTTCAGGGTTTGGGGTTTAGGGTTTAGGGCTGAGATTGCCACCAGTCCAGCCACGCACGAGAAGGCTTTCTCGGGTTAGGGGTTTAGGGGTGTAGGGGCGTAGGGATTTGGGGTTTAAAAATTTAGGGGTTTAGGGGCCTCGCCGGCCTTTCTATGACCCAACGTTGGTCTTAAAGAAAAGCTGCCTTTGCCCTCCCCTAGAACTCGAACCCAAACCCCTTCAAGCCCTGGACCCCAAAACCCAAACGCCCCAAATCCTAACCCCTAAACCCCCCAAAAGACTTCGCTTTAGGATGATCCTCTGCGCCTTGGTACAGCCAGGGAGCCACCTTTTCTTGCAGGGCCAGGATTTCCTCGGAGGCCTCTGCATAAAAAGGAAACCACACTGGGAAACCAAACAAGCAAAAAAGCTAAGAAGAATGAACAATGATCCTAATAATAATAATGATGACCATAGCAACAAGAAGAAGAAGACAAAAGACTGAAGATGATATGATAGTTCGCACTGCCGCTGCCGTTTAAATAAACCAGGTGAAGGTCTGTAGTGCGCGGGATACAAGGCACCAGGGACCTAAGGTTTAGGGTTTAGGGTTTAGGGTTTAGGGCTTAGGGTTTAGGGTTTAGGGTTCAGGGACCTAATATTCCTGTGCCTACTTTCCCTTCTTCGGGCTCCCGGAGATCGATTTCCTTTGGGACATGAGGGCGGCAAACTGTGCTGGAACCACAACCGTAAGCTAACTTATGAGTTCATGGTAGGGGATATTGGTACGCTGTGAGGCTGTACATTTTTGGGATCCTTACCACACCCTAAACCCTAAACCCTAAACGCTTTTGCAGCAGGCTTGTGGATTCTGGCTTGGACAAGCTGTTCATGTTCGCCAACAGGTGTAGGCACACTACTCAGCTAGCCGAGTCCGGCTGCGGCCTGACCCTACCCAAAAACGCGCGGGAGTCACATTCTAGAGGTTTTCCCCTGAAAAGCTCTAAAAAGTGGAGTCACATTCTAGAGGTTGTCAGCCCTGAAAAGCTCTAAAACGTGACTCCCCCACGCCTCTGGCCTGACCCTACCCCAAAACGCGCGGGAGTCACATTCGGGAACCCTTCTCACCACCATTCCTGGAACATGGGTTTGGTTTAGTGGTATAGCGTACTCCCTTAAGAAATTGGTTTAGAAACCAAGCCTACCCCAGGCTCAAACTTCCCCGGGTACATGGGTAATGGAAACTAAGAAACTTAGGGTACCCTATCGCTGGAAAACCGTTTTCTTATACAGCGTTTTTACTGTATGATGGCGTAAGCTGAAGATTTGATTAGGGGGTATTGGGATCTTCGGGCTTGTCAAAACATGCCTTAAACCCTGGACATCCCTTCAACCTTAAACCCTAAACCCTAAGCCCTCTAAACCCTAAACCCTAAACTAAACCTCCGTAAACCCCAAAAACATCGCAGATTAGGCTGACCTTCAGCAGCCTTTCGAGCAAGAGGGAATGGCCGCGTCTGGCGTCATTGTTGACCTCCTTGCAGGCGAAGATCGCTGGAACTTGTGATGGCCTAGTTCATGGGGTTCTAGCTGGACCCAAGGTTCTACCGTTTGGTTTGGGAAGCCGTTTTAAAGATCCAAGGGAAAATAAGGGCCCCTTTACGGAGTATATTAGTTCCCTTTCAGGGTGCAACCTTCGGTGTGCGAGTCTTAATCCCTTTGACTTTAGTTGCCAGGCACCCTTGCTACTTGTATTTGGTGGGGGTGTGCTACACCCAAAATGGCTCAACAAAGTCTACCTACTACGTCGGCAAAGCCTCAGTCGTGTGCCGACTGGGTAGTTTCCTGATGTTTCCCGCATAGAACCCCCCACCCACTCAAAACCCTAAGACCCTGAGGCCCTAGATCCAAAGATAAACCGGTTCGGGCTTTGGAGTTTCGGATCTAGGAGTCTAGGGTTTGGGGTTCAGGGTTTAGGGTTTAGGTTTTTTTTTGAGGATTGAGGTTGGGTAATCCGAGCCGCAGGCTCCGAATATGAGGGCCTTTGGGCCAGACCCTCTAGCCCGAGAGGCCACGTCTCTTCAAGATTTAGGGTTTGGGGTAAGGTTTAGGGTTTGAGGTTTCGGATCTAGGGTCAAAGGCCCTACAAAACGAAGAAGGCTAAACCCTGCACCCTACTTGGAGGTTCATGGGGAATTACAAGTAGGGTTGCATGGAAGCTATACTAGTAACCCTGTTTAGGGTACCTATATCACCCTACTTACAACGAGCCATGAACCTCCAAGTATGCCCTTTTCTTTCCCTGACAGACCCCCCAAACAAGCCCCGAAAGCTGCAAGCCCCCCCACAAACTACCCAGGGAGCCCATTGCCCCTTAACCCAGCGACTCCAATACCCCTTAAGTAAGGAATGTTTCTTAAAATAGACAAGCGCTCCTTAAAGGGTTTAAAGGAATATTCCTTAGTTAATGGGCATTCGAGTCTCTGGGAATAGAACATTTGTCTTAGCCCTTGCGACGAACTCTAGACTCTTCACCCCCTCAAAAAAGCGCGTTACCCGAAGCAAGCCTAGAGAGTCCAAGACCCCATAAATGCAGGAATGTAGGCTGAGGTGTCATCAGGATCCCTATGCAGACCCCTTCAATGTATAGAACAAATATCTTCCCTAAACCCTAAACCCTAAACCCTAGACCCTAAACCCTAAACCCCTAAACCAAGCCCCTTGAAAATCTCTTGAGATGACAAGGGCCCCTGGAAAGCCCGCGGTTCCTGGTCTGCGGGAGTCACGCCTCAATCAACCCTCGCTCTCTCAGGCTTTAGGCCTTAGGCCTTAGGCCTTAGGCCTTAGGGTTTAGGGTTTAGGGTTTAGGGTTTAGGGTTTAGGGCCTCAATCAACCTTGCGACCCTAAAACCCTCAAAGGAACTACAGGGAGAGCCTCGGTGGCTACCGCAGCACTCCTCTTGCTGGCCCAGCGGCCGTATTATAATAAGAGTGCCCTTTTTAGGCTAAGGGTTTTGGGGGGATTTAGGGTTTAGGGGGGGCTGAGGGCTTAGGGGAACTACGATAAGGGAGCCGAGAATCACAAAAAAAGGTGGCAAAAGTGCAAAAGTGCAAAAGGGTACCACTGCCCTGCCAAGTCCTTCAATGCCCTGCAAGCCGAAGAGGAAGCTCAGGGTTAGGTTTAGGGTTTAGGGTTCAGGGTTTAGGGCTACAGGGTTAGGTTTGGGGTTTAGGGTTCAGGGTTTAGGGCTAGGGTTTAGGGTTTAGGCTTTTGGAGGTGTAGGGGCTTGCGGTTTGGGTTTTTGGGGTCGAGAAACTATAGGCCCTGGGAAAGGCGCAGGGGCCTGGGGTCCAGGAGTCCGATGATGGCACGCTTTCTGTCCCGGGCGCAGAGGTATAAAGGCTCAGCTTGTATGGTTTAAGGTTTAAGGTTTAGGGTTTAAGGTTTAGGGTTTAGGGTTTAGGGTGAGTGTAGTAGAGAGTAGTAGATTTTGCTTGCAGAATCTAAGATCGTTTCGGGTTTTTACATCTCATTGAAGGGCCTCGGGACCCGCTGGCAGTCCTGGGTTAGGAACCCGCTTTTGTCCACCCTCGGTCAGGGTGTAACGTGGAGGGCTAGGGAAGCCAAACCCCTAAACCCTAAACCCTAAACCCTAAACCCTAAACCCTAAACCCTAAACCCTAAACTTTAAGTCCTAAACAACCTAGGGTTTAGGGTTTAGGGCACTTGACCCTACAACCCTTGGCGGCTGTAAAGCTTGGGGGCTGCCAGGTCAACATTGTAGAGGCCTTAAGGGCGGGTTTAGGGGTTAGGGTTTAGGGTTTAGGGTTTAGTGTTTAGGGTTTAGGGTTTAGGGTTTAGGGTAAACCAAGGTTCACTGATACTCCCCGCTGTTCCCTAGCCTAAGGCTCCCTAAGATTCCCCACTTTGGACCCTATAACAGCAGGTCACACGTGTCACATTACGAAATGCAGTCTGAACCCTGGATCAGCAAACTGTTTTTGCCACACGTCTCCATGCTCCACGAGGCAACTGAAGTGGGACAACTTTACGATCAGCAAGCTTTAGGGTCTAGGGTTCAAGGTTAGGTTTAGGGTTTACGAATGAAACCATTAAGCCCCAGACCCAAACTCTACACCCTTGTGAAAAAAACGGCCCTAAAGCCTAAGGCCCTGCGCGACGAAACACATCCCTCGAACGCGAAGTCCTGGAACCCTACGCCCCAGAGGGTTTAGGGTTTAGGGTTTAGGGTTTAGGGTTTAGGGCTTAGGGCAACCTCAAAGCAGAACGGAGCCCGAGGCCCACGCCGACGCAGGCCACGTACTCCTCGGCCACGGTTTCGATCTTGGTCACGTTGTACTTCTTGCAGATGTCATCCTTGGGCTGATCCTAAACCCTAAACCCTAAACCCTAAACCCTAAACCCTAAACCCCCAAAGCCCTAAACCCCTAAACCCCTAAACCCCTAAACCCTAAAGGCCCTCGACCCTACTTGGAGGTTCGTTTGAGCAGTTAGAAGCAGGGTTTTCGAACAAGTATGCTAACTCTACCTCTAACCCTGGTTTAATGGGCACTTAGAACCCTACTTATAACTACCCATGAAACTTCCAAGTAAGCGTTGGCTCTTGGCTGAAAGGCTGAATTTAGGGTTTAGGGTTTAGGGTTCAGGGTTCAGGGTGAAGGCCATGCCAAACCCTCAGCCACCCGTGAAGCTCCTCAACTTTGCGGAGCTTCTTCTTTTGTTACAAGCTCCACGGCTCCCTAAATACCCTTAACCCTCAACTCTCGACCCTAAGCCCGAAACCCTAGACTCTAAAAAAGGGCAGCTCAGCATCCCCTAAACCATAACCCTAAAACCCACACCCTAAACCCTGGGATCCTAAACCCTCCTGTTTTGGTAGGGTTTTGGAAGTGGGTTCAGGGTTTGGGGCTTTATGGGCTTCAGGGGTTTTAGGGTCCAGGGCTCATGTAGCGACATAGCACTTGCTGTGGTGAAAATGTAGAGAGGCTGGAGCGGGCACTTGTCTTGCTTGCGGCTTAGGGTTTAACGCTTGGGCCGAGTACTCCCCACCGCCCTTTTCGTTTGCTCCCCAAACCTCGTAAGCACTTCACACCTCAAAGCCCAGTACCCTTTCATTTCGGAGCACCCCATACACTTCAGAGGCATATTTCCCTGCTACAGTAAATTTTGGTCGTAAACAACATTGACCAAACCCTAAACCCTAAACCCTAAACCCTAAACCCTAAACCCTAAACCCTAAACCCTAAACCCTAAACCCTAAACCCTAAACCCCGTCAAAGCGCCATTTCGCGGAAATAGTCGTTCAAGAACTGGAGCAGCTCATCGGGCGCCTTCCTCCGGAGAGCTGTGGTCGGGCACTCTTAGCCCTAAACCCTAAACCCTAAACCCTAAACCCTAAACCCTAAACCCTAAACCCTAAACCCTAAACCCTAAACCCTAAACCCTAGAAGGGGTTCTGTGAAGGCTGGACCTTTCCCTGACCTTGCTTGGGGTTAAGGGTTTAGGGTTGATTGTTACAACCCACAAGTCCCGTTCTTTGCCACATGACGTGGGGGCCGCCACGGTTTAGGGGTTATTAAGTTAGGGTTTAGGGTTTAGGGTTTAGGGTTTAGGGTTTAGGGTTTAGGGTTTAGGGTTTAGGGTTTAGGGTTTAGGGTTTAGGGCTTAGGGCTTAGGGCTTAGGGCTTAGGGTTTAGGGTTTAGGGTTTAGGGCCATTGGGATGGTGGAGGCGATCCCGAATGTCTCGCGGAATCGAGCGATGGGAGAACCAGTTCTGCCGGCCAACCGCAAACCTGCCCGGTGACAGGCGTGAGGCACTGTTCTGCGAACTTGTGTTTCCCCTGGGGCTTGACCCCTTCTTGGTCCGCTGCCTATCGGTCAGCGTGTTGGGCTCTCCTCTTCTATGTGGCTTCCAGGGAATCTGTTGTCGCCAAAAATGTGATGCAAGAAGTGGTAGTCGTTTTCCGCACTGCTCGCACGAAGTCGATCTGAGATCTGAAGGAAAAGAGTCAGGAGCCTATGGCTGAAGCGAAGCTATCCTAAGGATGGCTTGGAGTTACACAGCGTAGCACGTTTTCGGTCGCTAAGACCTCGGGCCGAAGGAGCTCCTGGAAGTGAGAACCGAATGCTTGCAAGCACTGGAAGGTGGAGGCAAAACTGATTTGTACAAGTCTTCTGACATGCCCCCAGGAAGAATGCCGAAGCATTTCAGTGCTTGCGCCTGCTCTGTACACTGAAGAAAAACAGAGTTTGTCACATTCTCCGCAGCAGGCTCCCTCAACATCTGGCGTCTCTTCTTCGCTGAAATGAAGGCTCCATCGTAACGGATCCTCCAATATCCAGATGCCAGGAAACGTTTGAGCACATCTTGTTTGCTAGCCTTCGTCAAACCATCCGCCAGCATGTGGTTGCTATCACACCACAAAAGCACTGTCTTTTGTTTTTCTAGATGCTGACTCAACGACAAAAGTTCCAAACCAGTATACTTATCCTTTTGACTGGCAACGAAGACACCCTTCGACAACGTATCGAACATGGCCTTTGCGTCGACCACAAGGTATGAGGGGACCTTGGCCGCCGTATTCTCTGGGACCTTGGCATCGACATAGTCGCCGATCATCTCCCGCCACTCTAAGCGAGCAAAGAAAAGCTCCTGCTCGGTGTCAGCAAGGGCTTGTGATTCTGCACTCAAAGAACTACGGGCTATTCGGTGCAATCTTCCACTCTTCCAGGCGATAGGATTGATGCGTCCCATTCCAGCCTCGAGAGACTGCTGATGCATTAGAGCAATTAAATGCCCTCCTGTGGATGAGAAATCCGGACGATTCGCAAGAGAAGCGTCTGACCATGCGATCATGCATAACTGCTCGGGATCCTCTGCTCCCAAAGATTGCACCTGAACAGACAAACTTCGAGCTGAATACACTTCACGGATCAACTTGTTGACCTGTTCCACGATGCTGGAATCTTGCGAAGCGATGAGAGATTGCAGATAATTAAGTTTAGCAGCGTGCTGTGGAGCACTTTGATAAACTCTCCACTGCACACTTCCCAACACGGCACGCACCTGGCTGACTTCCGCAAGAGTCAACTTGCGCTCTTCACGGATCGGGTCGAGCTGCTTCAACTCCTGGCAGAAACTGGAGTGGTCTAAGCTTACAGAATGGTCAGGATGCTGCATGATGTTGACACCACAATGTCGAAAGGCTCCATGCTCCCATGGACTCCATTCATAGGCATTCTTGAAGCCGTGCAAGAAGTCTTGCCAGGCCTTTGAGGAGGAGCATCCCGTCATTAAGAAGTCGTCAACATGGCTGGACACAAGTCCAACCACAGCGCCTGAAGCATCCCGGATGCGCCACACACAGCTGTCGGTGGTAAGCCTTTCGGCACCTAAGCTGACCAAAGTCCTATGTACATCTTCGTACCATTCTCTTGGGGCGGACACCAATCCGTAGCAGCTGCGTAGGAGCTGCACTGCCTGTCCTTCTTGTAGGCCGAGCGCATGCGCCAGCTCGGGAACTGGAGCCGCGAACACGCACCTCTGCCCTTGTGGAGATTTTGCCTGTAAGAAGGCCGATTTCACATCCCCACACAAGATGTCCCACTTTCGAACTGAAGCCATGTTTAACAGAAGTTGCCGAGAAAGACGTGACATAGCTGGGCTCACCGTATTGGCCTCCAGAAGATTCGGATCGGAGTAGCCGAGAATGACAATTCTCGCCTTGGCTTTGATCCGCTCTCCAGAGGCTTTGGGGAAATCGCTCGCAGGTTGTCCATCCTTTGGCTCAGCAGATTCATCAGGAGCACTTTTGAAAGTGAGAACCCATCGCATTTTGAGCAACTCTCTCTGAGGCAGAAACTTCTGAACTGCCCTCACAGCCTGGGTCTTCATCCAGTTGTCCACTTCGACCTTCATGGCCTCGTCCATTGCAGCACGCTGTACCCCATTAAGTTTGGCATAGCTGACCTCTACGCCCTTTTGGACGCTTTCGCGATGAATCGTTTGGGATTCTTCACGAGGGCCTTCCACTCGGCCTCGCTCGATGGGGCAGCGAGGGTGACTGCAAACGCAGGGGACTCGTCCTGCAAGGAGGCGCATGAGGCATTCTGGATGACATAGGCAGAACTCTCACTCTCTTCCTGATCCAAGGTCACAAAGTTCGCGGGCAGGTATTGAGGATCATTCAATAAACGACTCATGTCCAAATTTTCCACCAGCGAATTGTGAGCCTGCGGCACGGGGATCATCTCTGCCTCATCATCATGAGGAGGCTCCGGATCCGGACGTTTTGAGCCTCGTGACATCTCAGCAGGGACTGGAATCATTTCCTCTTCTTCTTCAAAGTCCTCGGCTTCTGGCTCAGGACCGTAATGAAGCTGAGGAGGGAGTACTGGAGGTTCTGGAGCAGCTCGCCGACCAGGAGGAACTGACCTGGATCGGGCCGGAGTCTTGGAACGTCCTCGGGTTCGGGAGCGAACGATGGTTTCATCGTCAAAGGAACCACGATCAAGGAGACTCGCCAACGAAGCAAACGTCCACGGAAACTCGGCACCTGCTGCACCCTCGGCGATGAGGCGCTCAGATTCGGTGGAGTGTCGGACCTGACTCTGATGAAAGCGCTTAAGCCGGCCGTTGCAGACTGCCCACACTATGGCACTAGGCTTTCGGACCCCTTCTTCTGAGACCACACGAGTCTCTGTGGCCAACACTCGGGCTGGTCCATAGAAGCGGGCTATCCCCATCCGGGGACGGTCCACCACCGAGTTGGCCGGAGCATCCTGCGGAACCTGGAATCGTTGGTAGAATATGATGTCCCCAGGCAAGAATCTTTTGGCTGGCCTTGTTCGGGAATTCATTGCCCTTGACATCACTTCTCGAGCTCGAGCTTCGATGAAGGCTTTCTCTGCCCTGGTGCGTAGCTCAAGGGATTCTGCCATGCCATGGGAAGGATCGGACATAGCACTTTGGGCGCAGACCTCTCCAGGACGTTCACGGCTATGTCCTGTCACGGTGACGTCTCTACCGAAGGCCCATTGGGCTGGAGAAAAACCCAGGGTTCTGGCCATGGTATTGTGTGCAGCCACCATCTGCGCAGCCGCCCTCGTAGGATGATACTGTTCCTGGCGCATGAAGGCCTCAATCTTCCTACGAATTGTCCCAATGGATCGCTCGACCTCGGAGATCCCTTCGTGGTACTCGGCAGGAATGACACTGAGCTCGATACCTCGGGACGAGCAGTATTCTCCCAGATCAAGTCCTCTGAAAGCTCCCTCGGGATCGAGCTTGATGGTTTCAGGAAACCCGAAGATCTGGCACCAGCGAAGTTCCAAGGTCCGGCATACCTGGGCGGTCGTCATGTGCCTCATCTCTTTCTCGGGGTGCCTTATCATCTCTTCTACTACGCAGAAGCCGGAGGCCTCATCGACCATGAGCAAGTAGTGGAACACTTCCTGGCCAATTCGCATATAGAAACCGTCGATCTGAAGAGTGCACCAGAGGCGGTCCTCACGCTTCAGACTGACCGCGGGAGCTGAAGTGCGAATCTGGTTCTCCATGCACATGTCACATTTAAACTCAGCGGCCACGGCTAACAGCTTAGGAGATGCACCTCTGGCTCGAAGGTTCTTGAGGAGGAGGCTGTTGGAAGGATGTCCGAACCTCCGATGAAGCTTCTGCACGGTGTCTAACAAGCTTTCCAGCTCCTTCTTATCCACGCCTTCAAGAGCTTCTTTCTGGGCCGTCACGGCATAGACGGGGTTCCCTTCTCCTGAGGCTGAGCTAGCCCCATGAAAGTTCATGACTGACCCACAGAAGGCACGATACAGGTAATCCCACTGGTTCTCTACACTCTCCATTTTTGAAGACACCCTAGAGCAATCCAGGAACATCGCCTTTGACGTGGTTCGAATTTGTAGATCTCCGTGCTGCCACTCGAAGGCCTTTCCGGATTCTGCAAGAGTCTGCCAGAACTGGCATGAGTCACGATCTCGCCAAGCACTGGAATGCTTTTCTGAGACCCAGACACATTCTCCACCCCGAAGTTGTTGTTGGGAAAGGGAGATCACATTCCTCAACACCTTGCGGGATCGATTCACCATGGCACGCTGTCGTCTGTCTGAGTCACTTCCTTGCCTGCAAGGTCCTTTCGGAAGTTGGAACCATGCGAAAGCCGGGCTTCGCTGTTCCAGTTGCTGGTGAGCTCTATGACATCCACCTCGAGTGCCCAAGTCAAAACCCTGTGAGAGATTTGCTGACAACCCTTGTCCACCTTGCTGTCCCAAAAGAGAGCACAGAGGACTGTCAGCAGGGCCGCCGAACTCCACGACCTGCAAACAGTGAGGGTCCCTGCCATGCACATCAAGAAGTGAGTTGACCTCATCCCACACTTCCTCGCACGAGGCTTGTAGAAGGTGACGGACATCCTGGCACAAGAGAACTTCTCCCGCGCCCTGTCCCTCAACTGGATCAACGGCATAGGCGTCCTCGCCCTCGTTGTCGTCGTACTTCAAAGGCCTGACGGACCTGGGCAAAGGAAACCCCAGTTTCTTGAGGCATTCTCGTCGGGCTTCCGTACTCTGAGCAATCAACCGAGAGGAGTAAAAGGTCAAAGAGATTCTGGTACCTGACCAGCGATCAGTCGCATGAAAACTCTTGGGAGAGAACTGAATGAAACGATGTTGGGTTGTGTGAAGATGGCCTGGTACTCGTTGACCGTTACGCTTGGTCTTCCATCGCACCGGGCTCACACTGGGATCGCTATCTTCAGTCAACTCCACCCATAATTGTCCCCCTTTGAAGTCTCCGAAGGAGCAAGTGAAGTTGCTGCTACCAGGATCATTGTTGGGGTCAAGATGGATGTTCATGGGCTGATTAAAGTTCACCGCAAAACTTGTCCAACATGATCCCTCCTGAGCAAGGTGGTGCTTGCCGAAGAGGTTCACGTACTTGCACAACCATGGAAGCTCGTGACTCTTTCGAGTGATGCCGGACATGTTCCCATGTGAGAAGAGGCCGAAAACGTTGTACCCAGTCCCATTTTTCGGTTCAAGAGTACTGCGGTTGCTCTGAGAGATGGCTTCACGGACAGCCATGAACTGGAAAAGAAGCTGTTCACAATCTTTGAAGGAAAAGAGTTGGTCGTGGCACATCTGGCGAGCGAGGTCTTCAATCTCTCGCACACCTTGCTTTACAACATGCATCACTGCGGGCCCTGGGTTCTCGTCTGATACTCCTGCTCTTCCGCTGGGATCGCTTGATGTCGCTTGCTCCCAGGAGTCTGGTTCATACCCTCTGCACTCGCCTCTTCGAGGTTCACCACAACGGTCGACTTTGGGCTCGCAGCTCCGGCGTTGGCGCTCGAAGGTGAGGAAGGTGGCAGAGGGCTTGCTCCCATTGGGCCCTGCTTGGGGATCACTTTGTCCTTCTGCGTCCTGATCTTCTCGAGCTGGCGCACCATGCTGTTCTCTGCAGCTTGAAGAGCAATGGCCTGATCCTTCAGGCGAGGGTTGAAAGCCAAATCCTCCTTGGTCTCGGTCACCACCTCCTGGACATCGAGGTTGAGGGGTCCGGCGGCACGGTGGAGACCTGTCTTGCCAACCCGGGGGATGTAAGTGAGCCTGAGGCTGCACCGGGTGCAGAGTTGCCACATGGCATGTTGGTTGCTCCTTGTCGCCACGACATGGGATCCCATACATGGGGGCCCCTTCAAGCGCACGTCCCTGGGATTGGCTTCTTCGATCCTGCTCCAGTCCAACTCGGGGGCAGGCTCTGCTTTGGGCTTGGTGCCTTTCCCCTTCCCCTTGGCCTTCAACGCTGCAGGCTTCACCGCAGCTTTGGCCTTGGCCACTGAAGCTTCCACCGCTGCCGCAGACAAGCCGTTGCTCTCGGCAGTCGGAGTGGCCATGGCCCCGTACAAGAGCACGAAGGATTCGAAAGGGATCTTCAAGGCACCCACTGGAGTCTTCTCCAGGAGCACTATCGGCACACCCTCGTGAGTGAAAGAGAACTGCAGGACACGAAGAAGGAGATTCAGGTGCTGCTTCATATTCAAGATGAGTATCCCCTCGAGCTTGGAAATCAGATGGCAAAGGCTCAAGCACAAACACTGCACCGATGTTTTCTTCTGCCTCGAAGGTTGTGGGAGGCACCTCAGGAATCCTCGCTGCGGGAGAAAGAATCGAGAAGGAATCCTGCAACCAATTGCGACTCAAATCGATCAACAAATGTCCTGAGGGACTTCTACGCAGCTTAACCCCTGTGGAGGGGTCCAGTGCAGCAAACACCGCCACATCCTGATGGCAATCCAGCACGGTGCGCAGAGCCCTGAGAGTTTTTATGCCGATCAAGATTGGGACATTCTCCACGTCCAGAGAAAACACTCCTAGATCCACACGGACGGGACCCAAGTCCTGAGGAATGAGCATTTGTGACAAGGAAAAACCAATCGATCCGTTTCCAAATCGAAATCTCCTGGGAGGAGTTGAGGATATCTGAAAGGAGTCGGGGACGCCGTTTAGTTCATATCTAACTGCCATCAAGTCCTCGATAGCAGGGAGCGAGCCGACGGTCTCAGTTGCTCCTGAGTCAATGACCGCGTGTCCCCTGGGCTGAGCCTCCCCTTGTCCCGAAGCAAAAGCATCATCAATTTGGTGTGAAGTCACCACGTATGAAGTGTCTTGAAGTTCACCCCACCGAAAATCCAAACACATGTCGCTTGGGGTCCTTGTGTCAAGGATCTCATGCTTGTCCCCGTCGCGGATCGTGGAGATGCCCTTGTCGGGTTGGAGGATCTCGCGCGGGGAGTCGGGGGAGACCATGAAGATACCCTCAGCCATGAAGTTGCGGGCGCCCTTGCCTTTGGAGGAGCCCTTGCCAGTAGAGGACCTCTTGGGACACGACCTCCACGAGTGTTCCTTCGATCCACACACGAAGCAGCCTGAGAAGGATGGATCTCCAGGCTGAGCAAAGATGTCGGAGGTCGCTGCCAAGATGGGAGCTGGAGGAGAACGAGGAAAGGACGGCTTTCCTTTCCCTTTACCTTTGCCCTTACCTTTGAAACGAGGCTTCCCTTTACTCCCAGGATTGAAAGGATAAAAACCCCGACTGAGGTTTCGGGCTTTGACTGCTTGTCTCGCTTGAGTGAAGTTGCGAGACTTGGGATCCTGGAGGGAAAAGGCATCTTCAGCGTCGCGCGTGGCATCGGAAGGAGCCGTCGAGGTGCCACCACTGAAATCCTCCCAATCATGCCAGGCCCAATAAAGTCCTGTCGTGTCCTGGGTGTAGAACTCGCCGTCCTCAGCCATTTCCCAGAAGGAGAATGCACCATCATCATCCTGATGCCAGAAGCCTGTTTCGCCATGGTAGCTGGCCGGCTCCGGCTCATGGTGGTAGTACACCTCTGGGGGAAGCCGAGAACCCACGTAGTGGACCTCACTGGAAGAAACGAGCTCTTGCAAGTCCTCTTCTGGCGCCATCACGAGGCTCCATTCGCCTTCTTCCTCCACCCAGAAAGACCTGCGGCGGGGCTGATGGTTCCGCTTGGCCTCATCATGCACCATCAACTCATCTTCCATAGACCGCATGGCCCTCTCGATGTCGGTGAACAGGAGAGAGTTTCCTGCCGCAGCCTGGATGGAGAGTCTTGCACTTGTCGGGAGGTTGGCACGACGAAGAAGCAGCCAGCCAAGGACTTCTCCTGGCAACACTTCCTCCAGGCCTTCCTCATAGCGGTCCCACACCTCCAAGTCCTTCATCATCTGGGCGCTGTCGTCGCTGTCGTCGTCATCGTCATCCGGTTTCTTCTTTCGTCCTTTCTGCCAGCTCCTCTTAGGGCCAGCATCTCGAAGCTCAAACTCGGTCTCGTCATACTCCGCGTCGAAGGCGTCCTCTTCGGGCTGCCCCTCTTCCTCTGCTGTCGGTTCCTGGGTTGTCTCGCTGCTTCTGCGCGTCGGAGATCCTCGATCACGCCGGGAGGCATTGCTTGGAGAAGAGGGAGCTGAAGGTTGCCGAGGAGGGACGGCTTCACGAACCTGAGGTTCTTGGCTGACGTGAAGTCCATGTTCTTTACGGGCTCGATGCAAAGCCACCTGCACCCGCTTGTATGTCTGGCGGACCTGTGAGGCCCACGAACTCATTGCAGTGCCGGGGCTTCGACGGAGCCTGATCATGAGCTCCTCTAGCCTGATTCCGACATCAGGAATCGGAGACCGTCCGAGACGATCTCGGAGGAACTCCAACAGGTACACGGAGCCATCACGGCGAGTCAGCTTCTGGTGGTTGACGTCTTGCGTTATTGTCCATGCTCTATCGCGAAGTTGGGCAACAATGGAGGGACCCAATTGTCGACGCTTCTTCCTTGGTGTCTTCTCATAAAGTAGCCGGACCCTTCTGACGAAGTCCGTCCACCCAGCGGGATCACCGTCCCAACTGCACCGAGTCAGCGAAGCATCGTAGTCTTTCTCCATGTCGCCGAAGACAAACTCTGCCCTTCACAGGCAAGTGGGGAAGACCGGGAGCCCCAGCCGTCCAAAACAGATTCGTCTGGTCACCACCGCGAGCTCTTGGATCGAGCTCCGCTACCAGTATCGGTCAGCGTGTTGGGCTCTCCTCTTCTATGTGGCTTCCAGGGAATCTGTTGTCGCCAAAAATGTGATGCAAGAAGTGGTAGTCGTTTTCCGCACTGCTCGCACGAAGTCGATCTGAGATCTGAAGGAAAAGAGTCAGGAGCCTATGGCTGAAGCGAAGCTATCCTAAGGATGGCTTGGAGTTACACAGCGTAGCACGTTTTCGGTCGCTAAGACCTCGGGCCGAAGGAGCTCCTGGAAGTGAGAACCGAATGCTTGCAAGCACTGGAAGGTGGAGGCAAAACTGATTTGTACAAGTCTTCTGACACTGCCTGGCAGCTTGCTCGCCAACAGCGAGCAATTCGGAGCCTCAATGTCACCCTTTCTGTTGCGTCTTGCCCTCAAAATGGCTGACAGGAAGCAATTGACGGTGGCGAACAAGGCGCCACCAAGAACTCCGCTGACTTGCAGGGTGCAGCAGTAGCCGATCCGTCCGAGGGCTTTGAATCCGATGCACCGCGCGGCAGCACGGGCAAAATAGTATGCTCCTGCTCGAGAAACTCATTGTTGTCCCGCGCGACGTTGTATGCAACAGCGACGCTGAGGTCGACGACTTGGCGGCCAAACGACCCGATCGCCGCGATCGAGAAGCTTTGCTGCGAGCTGGCGACAGGATGGATGGCGTTGAGAACTCCCTTGATCCCTGCGGAGATGGGAATCACGGAAGTGTGGGCGGCCTGCGCTTCAACTTCATCATCATCATCATCATCATCATATTATTCTTCGTATTCTTCTTCTTCCAACGCAATGGAGAGGTTCGAGTCTCTACTAGCGAGCGCCTTCAATATCGGGCTATTGCCGATTTCGAATAATCGAGGCAGCAAAGACACTAATGCCCACGAGCGCGCCTAAGCCGCCTGGCTATGAGCTATGAGCTCACAGCAGCTCCTCGTCCATCATCATCATGATCATCATCATCATCATCACCATCACTAATGTCAGCCCAAGCGGTGTTATTGGGCCCAGGCTCACGGTAATGATTGGGATATGGCCGCGGTCGCGCGGCACATCAACACGGTCCGGCAAGAAGGAGTCGCCGAAGCTCCGGCCCAGTTGTCGTACTCGACGCCGGAGCCGAAGAACACCCGGGGCAGAAGGGCTCGAGCATTGGCTTTGGCATTCTGTTCGGTGGGCACGCACCTTCGATGGCCGCTGCCTGTAACAGAAGAGCTCACCAAAGACACATGATTTGGGAGCTCATCTCTGAGGGTGACGTGGGAGTGCTGAGTGGTCCTTACCGGTTTAGGGTTTAGGGTGCAGGGGGCCTGTTTTTTGGACATCCGGACTGGCAATACCTCCGTGGCCACGGAGGCGGGCCCGGCTCAAAACCGCCGCCGCAGGGTTCACGTGGGGCTCCACCCCCCACGCGCGGCTTCTTCGGGCTTGGGGCTTAGCTTGAGGCTTGGGGCTTGGGGCGTGGGGCTTGAGGCTTGGGGCTTGGGGCTTGGGGCTTGGGGCTTGCTCAGGGC